TACTCCCAGCGATTTCGTTTTCTTCTAACATAGTTATTCGACTACATTGTCAAAACATGTTCAGCAGACAATACCGCTGAGCCTTTCCAGAAGCTCTGTGATCAAACATTACGATCGGCACTTATGGGTGTAAGTTATCCCGGAGAGTGTTGTTTTTATTTCTTCTTTCCACTGCAATCACTCGTGATTGCAGGTTCTGGCAAAGCTATGCCCGGAGCTTTCGAGAAAGACAGAAATCCTCATTTGTCGTTAACAAATGCATCTTTGCAGTTAATTATTCTAATTGTTGTCTACCGTTTTTTTTCCCTTGTTCTAGGCCTTCCAACCATTGACCAACTATTGCCAGCAAAGCGGTGCCGGAATGAGATATTGCAAGGATCTCAATCGACAAATGGTTATCAATCGAAATGCCAGAGCTAAAGTAATTTCCATGATTGATGTCGACGAGAACGAGATAATTGATTTTGAAAATCAACGTTTTTTTTTTCTCAGAAATTTCTTTTTCGACGACTTGCACGCACTGTTCATGAAGATCAAGAGTTGAATACCGAACCTGACGTATGTACTCGATTCGAGGAATGTGGAAAGTGTTGAATAAATGCCATTTCTGCGTTTTAGCTCGAACAAGAATTGATTATGCAAATGTGTATAATAGAAACAGGAAAGAATTCAGTTGATATGAATCAGTTCTGCGAACGAAAAGCCTCAGAGATTCAGCAAGGAGTAAGAACAAGAAGAGAAATGCGAAATTTTCTCATTGACTTCACTCTTCTTTCTCTCTAGCAATTTCCTCGAATTGAACTTCTTTGCAAATCTTACCCCGATTCGCAATATTGTCAACAAATTCAAGCATACGTTTCGTTGGTCAACTCGATTCCATCATTCGATACTGAATGAAATTCTTCGGAAGAAATGAATCTATACTTCAAAACCTATGTATTATCATTTTTATAATCAACAAGTTCAATGTTTAAAACAATCCTTTGCTTTGATCATTCTCTAAGATCCAAAGGTATCATCATCATCATATGAGAGAGAGAAAAAATAATAAAAGAAGTCGAAGTGCAAAGAAAAAAAAAACATTACAAAAAAATATATTTATCTCAACAAAGCCAATCGTTTCTCTTTTTCAATGTGTCTACCATTCATCTCATATTAGATTGCCATATTCATGTGTGTTTCGTTCGTCTAAGTGTATATAAGTAAGAAAAAGAAAAAAAACTCCTCTTCTATCTAATCATATTTTCCTTGCAATCATCGTTATTTTGTTCGAATCATCCTCCGGTAATCAAGCTTTATGAGATTGAACAAAACAGTCATAGAGATTGAATACCAAAGAGACAATTCGATCAAGTTGATTTCGGGAAGAGAAAAACACACTCACGTCTGTGAAGAAAGTAATAACGGTTTGATAAAGGTGAGGAAGCATATACTCAACGAAGTTTTACATTTGCGTTCGCTTCATCAATAAACATTATCAAATACAGTCTTGAAAAGAGAGAAAAAGAAAATTTCGTACTTTACATTTGTTGTCAATCACAGAAGGTGTCCTTTACTACTCGAATATGAATATATATACACATACCTGATCCGTCTTATATATATATATATTATTGTTGACGATTTCTCTCTCTCTCCCTGTCCTTCTCTTTTTCTCTTTGTGGATATGGTTCAAAACGATTAATTTTATTCTAATGTATATTTATATGTTGAGAAAGAAGAAAAAAATGGGTGGATTGTTCTCTCGTTCTTTCGACACAATAGGTCGTCATTATTTTCGTCAACAATACTTTACACATGAAAAGACCACTACATGATTGTTCCTAAACATTCAATTTAATGCGACAAACGTCTCATACATACATACATTGACATGTATTGACAAAACGAATATTCCATTGAACAAGACAGAATAATAATCGTCGTCTGTATTCTCTCCGGTTTATTGAATAGCACAGCGTATTATAAAGGAGACGGGTGAGGTAGAATAGGCAATTCACTTCGACTATGTACGCATACGCAACACTAACCGACTTATAAAATCGTCTAATGCAGTTTATCAACTATTCAAGCAAGAGGAAAGAAGAGAGCATATAGAATGTCATTTGAGCAAATTTATGAAATATACAAAGAAAAAGTAAATAGGTCGTTGGGTTTTTTTTTGATTCGTACGAAAAAAAAGACTTGGCATGTGTTGTTTTTCTTTATCAAATAACATTGAAAATCGAAGTCGGATGAATAATCGGACTCGATACTATTGATTTTTGCTTTGAAGTTCTGCTAGTGTCTTCATTTCATATGCTGTTGTCGCTGGTTCACATTCGAATGAAGCAAGCATCAAAGCTAAATTGAAAATAGTCAAACGACAAAAGTAGAAAAAAGACTTTCCATACCATCTTCACTGAATGTCGGAGATGTGATAATAAAATTAATAATTTGATCGTTTCGTTGAAATGAACACTACAAAGTAAACGTTTTTGTCGTTCTTCCTTAGCAAAATAAAATGTTCGCACGTACATTACTCTGTTGACATTGTATAAACTCTTCTAGAACACATTTCGATATTGAATAATATTTCTAAAAAAAGATGCAAATTGTTGTTCAAAATACGCCTCTTTCGCCTCTCGAAACATACTTGCAAATTAATTCCACCTTCGGTTGTATAGTTTTTACTACGAGTTTTAATAAAATACACATCTTGAGAAACCAAACTGGTAAATGGAATGACTATACGATCGACTTGCCATTGACGAGTTCGTGCGTTCTCCATCGCTCTTTTCAATTGAGTACGATAATACGTAAAATTCTTTGAAACATTTTTAAATTGTTCGAGTTGAGTAAATTTCTCCAGTGAAACTTTCGCCCACTACAAATCATAATCAAGCACATTCACAAACAAAAACCAGACAAGCTTTACCGTTCGTGTCAAACGCTTCACCGGTTGCATGTTTAAACCACCTATACGAAAAAGACCAGATAAGTACGAGGCGAAAATAATTAAGCCATAATGACATGACGGAGATCTTCCGGTCGACAGCGTGTTACCCTTTATGAGTAACACGATATCCTGTCTACGACCGGTAAGTTAAAGTGTGCATTAAGAACATTGATGAAATGTTTAGACCTCGGACTGTCGTGATTTTGTCATGGGAGTAGAATAAGAAGCTTTTGTTTACCTAAGATAGCGAACATGGAATTAAAATTGTTTAAAAGTAAACAATGATACGCAGCATCGATGAAATAGGTGATTAGTTGTATTCGTAAACGTCGTTGGGTATGTTTGACAATTTCCGTGGCGACGAAGAAAGTCAAACGATTAAACCATTGGATGTAGGTTTCGAAGTTGAATGTTAATTTGATGTCATGAGCTACTTGTGAAGATTTTAATTGACCTGATGCTTTTATTTCCTTAGTCTCTGCTCGTGCATCTTCATTTGCAGATTTTGTTATGAAGTATTGTAGTATTTCTTCTGCTCCAATTGCTTTTAATCTACTCTATGAAGGAAAAAGAAGATGAAAATGAGGTTGGATTTAACTTCGATGAATACCAGTTCGATATGAGTGACTTGTTCGGCGAATAGAATTGGTGTTGAACATTGATCAATGATATTTGTCTAAAAAAAAGTGAAGGGCAACTGAAAAACTCATTGAATAACAAATATTTACGTTGAGAGTCATTTGATTGAGAGATTTCGAAGACATTTTGTTCAATTGTCGAATGTAATCTTCATAATCGTCTAATTTGCTCAGCTAGAAAAACTGAATCAATGCATATAGATTATTTTCGTTGTTTTACTTCCGAACGCAGTTGTTTATCAATACGTTTCGTGATTGAGCGAAAACTTGGTTCGTACGAATTGAGTTTTCGTAGAAGTTCTTCCAATTGAGATATCATTTCATCATTGCGGAAATCATACGGGAAAGTTTCAGTCCAGTGCGATAATATCTCAAGAAAATTCGTCATTATTCGTACACCTTGGTCCTAGACAGAAAAGGACATCTTGAAAATAATACACATTCAACATTAACTTGAAAGTATACATGAGTGCTTTCTCTCAATGAATTTATCGATAAACATGCTAATTTATTTAACAGTATACTTGGTCGAATATGTAATCTCGAACACATGAGCATTGGATTGATGAAGGTCACCTTAATAGAAAAGAGACATGTTGAGTTGAAAGTAGCGAAGAGAAAATTCAAATATTTGGATTAACTTTTGGTTTATAAGTGTCCGTTGGCACTAATCGCTGAATAAGTGAATCAATTGTGTAATTGGGATAGTCAAGAGGTGGATCTTCATTATCTGAAGACGTTTTAGGCGGTGTTTCCTGTGGCGTTGAAGGTTTAGGTGGAAGAAAGGCTGATTTCAATTGTGAATGCATCGGCGTATTTAGGTAGACTTGTGCACGAACACGATCGTAATACGCAGTCGAAAACGATTTTCCATACAAACGACTGGTTGTCTCGACATTTATGTGTTGCCTAGGATTATTAGCATGTCCACGACGTTGATTAACAGTATATGAATATTGCTTTTGCGATAAATGGGTATTTTCGAGAGTGGAGGGTATATGAGAATAATGCTGATAGTTATTCGTTGAATTTGATGTTACCCTACACGAACGATTAGCACGATATATCGGTGTCTCGTCGGTGCAGCGTACAGCAGACAAGCCAGCACTACTTGGTACACTATTCATGATAACCAATGTGATAAAAACAACTGGAGAAAGGAAGAGGAGAGAGAAAAAATGAAAGATAAGATTTTATTTTGTTGTTGTTTGTTATTATTGTTCAAATTCTGTCATACAAAGAAAAGAGAGAAGAAGAAAAAAACGAAGGAAAAACACACATTTGATTCACTCATTGTTATTCGGCTTTTAGTCATATCAAAAATACATATACAAAAAGAAGAAACTTGGACGGAATTTCTTATTATGATGGTGATTTAGAGCGAAGCCAGAACACGAAAAAAAGAGCGTTGAAATAGATAAGTGTTAATGATGTTTTGAGCGCTTATCACTGCCGCTTAATGACTGAATGTCTCGTCCGCTTGCACTTGTTCCACCACTTGCTTCTTCGGATCTATCCGATGGTACATCATCAATCATATACGTCTGTTGTTCCATTGACGAACGAGTTGCATGCTTTTTGTTCACTAATTCATTACTATTCGTCAATGGAGCAAGTCGTTTCTTATAAAGATGTGCTCTGGTCGGCAGTGCTGATGTTGGTTTGACATTATTCGTAACGTCCTCTAATGTTTTGGGTGACATGGGTGAAAACTCATCGGTATAGGACGAAGTCGATTTAGCACTGCTAATCGGTTTCAGACGACCACTTGGTGGCCGCATGTTACTCGGCGGAATAGATTGTTGTGAATAATAGGTATCCATTTGTTGTCGATTTCGAAAAACTTTTTGTCCAGCGACGGTTAAATCGAGAGTAGGACTTGTTTCATTCGAACCTGTTTTGGAGCCAGATTTTAATCGACTTGTTCCTGGTGGATTACTATTACCAGATCCAAGATAAGCTGATGATGGTTGTGGAAAATCTTTTGTGGCTGCTGAACGGTTTCGTTGTCTGGTCCTTGCGGATGTTACAGCTTGCTGTGGTGGTGGTTGTTGTTGTTCTTCAATATAACGATATTCATCATGAATCGATGGTCGATTGGCCTGTTTCGATTGTTTATAATGTGGTCGGCGAAACGTTGTACTGGATTGATGCTGTTGTTGCTGCTGTAACCGATCATCGTGGTGACGTGACGATAGACGAGAAGTAGGCCGAGCAGACCAAGCGGATTGCCATGGTTCATCGTCATTGTCATCATCGAAGTCACTTTGACCGGCATAACCTTCGAGACTGTTTGGTTCGTCGCCATCGGAATGAGCAGATGTGATTATAACATGATGGTGATGCTCCTGTTTTCGTCGTGGTTTGGATGTGTTGACAAGTGAACTATTTGGTGTTGTCGAACTTTTCCGTGGTTTCACTGGAGGTGCCATTGTTGAATTCGTTGTAGTCGAAGAAGGTGGCCGATACCGTTGTCGATTGACATCATGGTTATTTTCAGCATTGTTATTATCTGCATCATCATCATCATCATCAAGATACATTACGGTTTTAGGAAGGCTATTCTGTTGAATTGTTGCTGCTGTAGTTGTATGCGCAAATTGTTCATTGGAAAGGGTGGGTGATGAGCGCATTGGTTGGGGCAATGACTCTGTCATCAGACGACGATTACTGTGACGAATGAATCTTGCGTGGCCATTCATAGGCGGCGTTGGTGCCACATCAGATCCATTTCTCCTTACAGCATTATTACTAGTACTATTAAAACTACGTGTTGGTAGAGATTGGCTGTCATAATTGTTGTTATTCTTATCGCGTAGATAAACTTCAAACACACTACGACAAAAGTAAAGACCACGATTTTGCGCATAATCAAACGCAGATACACCATGGATATCTAAAGTAGTAAAAATAAAAAATGGAATCTATTGTTAAATGTTGTCACCCACCCTGAAGATGTGGATCAGCACCATGATCTAAAAGTTCTTTGAGTACACGTGCATGACCGTTTTTAGTTGCTAAATGAAGTGGCGTTTGACGGTACTTATCTCCATCGTGTATAGATGTTGGGTTATTAAACTGAGCATTCATATCAAAGATTAGTCGGCATGCATGTACTGAACCCTGTTCAGCAGCAACATGTAAACATGTTCGTCCATCGTTATCACGTAATTTCATCGATTCGGCCGATAACAACAACCTTAAGCATTCCAATGGTTCAGTTTTACGAACACTATGATGAATCCAAGTTCGACCATCATTATCTTGTTCTAGTTTTCCACTCATATGTCGTGATAATTCCTAGTCACAGGAGATTTAATTCATTTTCATCAAAGTCAAAATCCTACTTTGAAGTGTTCATGCCGATCGAGATGACAAGCCCACATCGCTGCCGTCATTCCATCTGCATCTCTTGCATGTACATCAGCGTTGAATCCCACCAACTGCCTCAAACAATCTGTATTTTCGGCGAGAACAGCCCAATGCAATGGTGACCGCATATGTACATCTTGTTTGGTCACATCAGCATGATTTTCCAATAGCAATCGAACGATGTCCACATCGCATTGTTGAGTCTCATCGCTGTAACATGCCCGATGTAGACATGTTGAACCATCGTTTGCTTGAGTATTTATATTCGGTGATGGTTTACATTCTAACAATAGGTAACGTAGAATATTAATCTGTTGATATTGAACAGCATATGTTAATAAATCCCGACCGAATGCATCCACACGATCGATTAACTCCGGCTTCGAATTTAGTAGTTCTTTGACATAGCGTAAATCTCCTTCCCGTACAGCCATGATGATCGGTGATAGGGTAACGAAATCATTTAATGAGTGTTTCGGCAATGTTTGCTTGACTTTATTAGATTCGACGTCAATCCATGGCCATTCGAATTTATCGGGCGCTTCACGGAATGGTGTGAGAGGACTGAGGCCACGTTCAATCGTCCATTGTAATGGTTTTTGTTCTTTATCACGTTTCTGTAAGATCAAATAGTATTGTTGAAGAAAATGAAGACCATGTAGAAGTGTATCGCGCAAACGTGAACTTGTTTCTTCATCAGGTAGTTTAAGTAAAAATTCGAGTATAATGGATGATGTCTTTTGAAAATCTTTACGTTTAATCGCCATTATATAAATACATATGAAAACTTATTTTCTATACAATACCTACATCTGAAATATAAATATACATACTTATCGACGAAGAAACAAATAGCAACCTATGCAAACAATCTCATTGATGATTTTAAAAAAGCTTGAGAGTGTTAAGGAAGAAAAAGAAGAAGAAAAATGTTGAACTATGAGAAGTTTCCTGCGTGATAACATTTCTATTTCAATCAGGCGATCAACCTGCTGTAGTCTAGCAAATCACAATATGTCTAGTGAAGTTACACGAAAAGAGAAAATGATCATTGTGACTTTGAAAGTTAATCGTTGGAACATGGAGACGAGGTGGAACATACATGGCAATAGACGTGGTTGGCATGCGAGCAGAACGAGAGAAAAACAACAAAGTTGAAATACGAAACTTTTCTTTCTCTTCTCTCGTCTCAATTTTTTCACACAATCAGTTGAATGTTGTCACAATGCGAGGAGAACGGTCTACTTTACAACATACAAACCAATTCTGCATCGATAAAGTCGACTAGAATAAAATTAGCACAGAAAAAGAAAAGAGAAAAAGAAAAACTCGTCAACACGATCAATTTCCAATGCTAATGCAAATTCTAACCAATATGTTGATTTCTATCAATGATGAAGAAGAAAAAACAGTTGAAAATTAAAATCCAGTTCTTTTGCGCAGATAATTTTGCAAAAATTATTTGTTTTCTTTTCATATTACCTACTAATGTGTCATTCTGCTAATCAAAAACAAACTTTTTGTAACTAAAGATTACCGTGACTAAGTAAGAATACATTCTGCGACATTCGATTTCGATTTTCCAGCACGTACATGCTTACAATTCTCTTCGATATTACGAAGAAAATCGAATTCGACGTGTGCGCCGTCGATCATTCAAAAAAAGTGTTTTTTTCTGATCGTCAGTGAATATTCAGCAACAAACATAATTAGAAAGTATTTTTTTCGAAACCACTTTTGATAAAAAGGAAAAAAATCACTGCTATTCAATCGGTTTTCTACGAGAATCTGGCGAGAAAAGTAGTCTTGATGCGAACGGGAGAAAATCAATGATAATAAGTGAAATATTGTTCTATAACTTCATGTTGAACGTCAAAATTGAGTTCATAGAAAGTACGTTAGGTCCAATGAGAAATTATTCAGTTCAATCTGAACTTTTCAATAGAACTTCTTCGTAGTGAGTATAAGATCAATGTCATAAAAGGTCTCCAAGTAGAATGCTTACTTCATTTAGAAGATCATCGAGTTGTGTGTAGTTCTTTCTATTATTTCCAGGTATGCGTATTTGATTTAGCCAAATACACGCACAATCTAGTTTTTCTAATATTAAACTACGAAATAGAAAAATCGTCAAATCAAGGTAAATACGCTGTCAGAAAGTTGAAGAATCTGACATGAATCAATTTATACCATATTGACACAAGAACGACTCTCTTTTTTCTATATCGTTGTTGAATATATCAGAATTCTCTTATCATGACGAAGATAAAACTGATAGGATGTTATCAAATCGAGCGATTTTTCATGCGCCATCCTCATCTACGATTTTATTTTTTATTTCAATCAAGTTGCAGTCTGAATATCGAAAACATTCAGTTGAATTCAATGGATGGACTTTCATCTTGTTTCAGGGAATTGAAAATCCGATAAATTTCATCAGAAAGATTTATTAATGTGTCATTGTGATTAAATAGAACATAAAAACTAAATCGTTTGCTTAACGAAGAAAGGAAAAGGTATTTGATATTCAAATCGAAATCTATGATAGGTTAACAAAAAATGCTAAATTTCGTTATGCTTGACGCCGGTCAATGATGATCAAGTGTGAGAAAAGATGTTTTGTCATGAATCGTTCTCATTTTTTCGGCGGTGCTTTAACTTCGTTATTCTCATTCAATGGTTTGCCATCGAAGAAATCCAATAAACTTTGTACAGTGGTTTCAGCGATGTTTTTCAAAGCTTCTTCGGTAAGAAATGCTTGATGAGATGTAACGATTGTATTCGGCATTGAAATTAAACGTGCGAGTGTATCATCTTCCATAACCTGAAAGATAAAAACGATCAGGAGACTTTCGAAGAGATTTATCGATTATACTTGTTGACTGTAGTCATTGAAGAAATATTGTTTTTCATTTTCATAAACGTCTAATGCTGCACCTCGTAATTTGCCTGATTTTAAACATTCGAGAAGAGCTTTCGAATCGACTAAACCACCTCGACTTGTATTAATTAACATTGCTCTCGGTTTCATCTTGTCCAAAGCCTCTTTATTAATCAGATGATATGTTGAATCAAGTAATGGTGCGTAGATTGAAACTAAAAATAGAATCAAGTCTTTATATATGTAAAATTCGAATTCGGCGATTTTCCATACCGACATCACTTTCTCGCAGCAATTCGTCCATTGTTGTATATACAAAACCTTTTTCTTTTGCTGCATTTTCATTTGGATAAATATCATACGCTAGTACTCTACAGCCAAAGCCAAGAAAAATATTAATCGCACACATTCCAATACCACCAGTTCCGATAATTCCCACCGTTTTGCCAAATAAATCGATACCGACTAACCCATCCAAACTGAAATTATGTTGTTTAGTTCGAAAGAACGCATGGTGCATATTTCGATTCAATGACAATAGAAGAGCAACCGAATGTTCTGCGACAGCATACGGTGAATAACGTGGTACACGTGAAACTTTCAGCTCATATTTTTCTGCTGTTTCCAAATGAACATTGTTAAATCCAGCGCATCGTAAGGCAATCATCTTTACTGTGGCACATGTTTTGTGTAGCTGTTCGATAACATTTTGATTAACAATATCGTTGACAAAAACACAAATAGCATCGTAACCAAGTGCTTCATCAACAGTTTCCTCCGTTAATTTACTTTCCAAGAATGTAAAACGAAGTTTATTTTGGCCATTCAAGTTTTTTAATGCAGCTTTAAAAGTTTTTTCATCGTACGATTTCGAATCGAAGACAATTACTTTTCGAAGTGACATTTGTTTAATCTACAAGACAAGAAAATGAATCATACCAATCGAGTTCTCTCATTCGCTTGCTATTGGAGAACAGTTAGTGGCACTACCAAAATGGAAGATGATGATGTCGTTTATGGAAATGTTGTCGTCATGTCTGAAAACATCACGAAACAGAATAGTTGTTGTGGAGAAGAACGAGAAAAGAAATGTACTCAACATAGAGAATGACGGTATCTATAGAGTTAGAGCACTCTAACGAGAAAAACCATGGCCTACATATGGTATACGAATCCTATGAAGAAATGTTTTTCTTTCGCAAACAACATCTTCGTGAGAAAATGAAATTAAACTGAAAGGTATCTTGAGATAATCTAATACATCACGAAAGACTGAATTAGAAGTCAAAAAGAGGGACTCATTATCATTCCTATCAACAGTTGTGCTGTACTCCTGTTCAAGTCTTCGATTACATTTGCTATTGAGATCTATGATGAAGACTTGTCTGAAATCGAATTCTCGAAGGTGATTCATTCTACTCCGATGTTTTCGCTTAAATAACAGACAATTCTTATTTCCACGACGGCATTTGCTTAAACTAAAAAAATAAAACAATATACAGATGGTCGATGAATAAATAATTTATTGTCTAAATAAGATTTCAGCTACAGATTGAGATTTAAAAGGTATATACACCAAATGTTAAGTAGACAGGGATATGTTTTTCATAAAATATACTTGCGAATAGATGACGTCTTCCTTCAAGTTTCATTTGAAAAAATCGAGTAAACTCTTGACAATTGATTCAGCAATGGTTTTCAAGGCTTCTTCCGTAAGAAATGCTTGATGAGATGTAACAATCGTGTTCGGCATTGAAATTAAACACGCCAAAGTATCGTCGTCCATAACCTAAACAAAACGATCATATTCAAATGAAATAATGCATTCAGACGTCATACTTGTTGACTAAAATCATTGAAGAAATATTTTTCCTCATTTTCATAAACATCCAAAGCAGCACCACGTAATTTGCCTGCTTTCAAACATTCGACAAGAGCTTTCGAATCGACTAATGGTCCACGACTTGTATTGATCAACATAGCCCCTGGTTTAATCTTGTCCAATGCTTCCTTATTAATTAAATGAAAGGTTGATTCGTTAAGTGGAGCATACAATGAAACTAAACGAAAGAATAAATATGCTTCTATTGAAAATGAAATCGAGATTTTACCTATATCACTTTGTCGAAGCAAATCATCCATCGAAACATACTCAAATCCATTTTGTTTCGCAAAATTTTCATCGGGTTTAATATCAAAAGCCAATACTTTACAGCCAAAACCTCGAAAAATCTTTACTGCGCACATACCAACGCCTCCAGTACCAATAATTCCCACCGTTTTACCAAATACGTCAACACCAACCAAACCATCCAAACTGAAATTGTGCAATTTCGTTCGAAAATACGCTCGGTGCATATTCCGATTTAATGACAGTAAAAGTGCCACTGAATGTTCAGCTACAGCGTGTGGCGAATAAGTTGGAACTTGACATACATGAAGGCCATGTTTTTTGACAATTTCCACTGATGAACCGCTGTGGCCAGCACTTCGTAAGGCGATAATTTTCACTGATTGGCATATTTCATGGATTTTATCCATAACATTCGAGTTTCGTGCATCACTGTTGACAATGCAGATCCCGTCGTAACCTTGTGCTTCGGAAATTGTTTCTTCTTTCAATCTACTTTCCAAGAATGTGAAATGTAGTTTGTCTTGACCATTCAATGCTTTCAGAGCGTCTTTGAACGTTTTTTCATCGTACGATTTCGAATCAAAGAAGAGAATTTTACGTTGAGTCATGTTTTGTTTTTCTACAAATGAAGAGAACAGAATGATGGAACTAACAATGAACGAATCCTCAAACTTACATTGGATGAAACACAGCTGGAAAATGTTTTTTTGTCGCTAGTTGTTCTATATCCGCAAGAAAAAAGTTGTCTACGATTGAAGAAATAGACGTTAGTTGCAGTAACTACGCTTGGAATATATGATCAAAAAGCGACACAGAACAAATAAAAAGTGGAAGAAAAGAAGGAAAGAAAGAGAACGAGAAATAAACAACAGGGCGAGTCTTTTCCATTACCCACACCCTCAATGCCAAGAGCGAGAAGGAAAGAAAGTAGTTATAAATCTCTGGCATTAAACAAGTCATCAACAGTCTTTCGGTACATTGAACTCTGATGTGACTTATTCATGACAAATCCGTATACATGCTTTTGAGCTAATCAACACATCTGTTGGATATTTATCGAGAAACATGGTCTGAGTTGGCAGAGAACTGGAATCAAAATTGGGTGCGTTTGTTTTTATTGTTGTTAATACAATATAAGAAGACAGCCCACAAGCACTCAGACGTACAAGAGCGAACAAAGGCACAAACAAAGATATAATTTACGAAAATAAATGTTTTGAAAAAGAAAGTTCGTATAAAAGAGATCTAAATGTTTATTTTGGTTGAAATACATTTGATGGAAAGAAAAAAAAAGAAAGAATTGATAAGATTCGATAGTTCGATGGAAGAGAAGAAGTTTTATCAAGGTAATATCACATCGATGGATTACTTTTAAGAGTACTGAGTGTGTCGAAGCAAATTCGATGGTGCATTCGGTCCAGGTGAACGAAATCTACAAACGTTTAATTGATTTTTATGATCTTTCTTATGATTGAATTTACCGTTGTTGCTTTTTATTGAAACATTTCGCGGTTTCTATCATTGACGAACGATTGGATAAGGTGAGAGATCGACCTGATAGAACAGTGATAGCTCGAGATTGAACTCGGTAATGTTCACTTTGAATTTCAACCCAAACAGTATATTTGCCATTTTGTAAGCCACTGATGGTCGCTTGATGTGTACTAGGATCGTATTTACCATGTAATTGAACAATGTTCGTCATGAGATTTTTCGAAAACAACTAGAAAATCACCACAAATGAATTTCTTTCTTTATTCAATCAGATTTTCACATACTTCAAATGAAAGTAATTTTTCCATTTCGTCTTCTAATCGTGGATGTTCCCATGCAACAACAACGGCTCCTGTTTGACCATCGTCAACACGTCTGAGAGCACCTGCTCGAATACCCGGCCATGTGAATTGTACGCCACGTGACATTGGACTAACAACATTCTTTTCACTGCTCAATGCTTGAACATGTACAGTATAAACATCACATGGTATACCATTGGTCAATGTATAGGTTAACTGATCGTGTGAGAGAATAGCTGCTAAGCGATTGTTGACAAATATTTTATAACCGACAACAGTAAACTCGCCGTAACTTGTTGCAGCACGCCATTCGAGTTTCACGCGAGTGCGTGTTCGTTCCCTACAAAAGAAAAGTTTATGGAAAAATAAGAAGCCTTTGGCTTTTATTGATCGATTACCGTATCGCTACGATTGGTGCATTTGGTGGTGCATTCATTTGAATAGTTGACTTATCTGATGTATATAAAACTGCACCATTTTTATCCACAGCCATGACCATAATTCCATAAGTAAAACCTGGTCGTAGGCCGCGCAGTACCTTTCGGAAAAGAACATTGCCGTTATCTCTTGATCACATCCATAAATTCTATCTGTTACTTACAGCATGACGATTTCGTTTTGAAATTTTCATTGCTTGCACTTCTCCATTGTTCAAACAAGTATAGTGTACGTAGTAAGCACGTATTGACGGTGTATGTAAAAATGATGTCCAGTCTACATGAAGTCTTTCCTCATTGATCGATTCGATTTGAACTGGAATAATGCGTGCGATATTTTGATCCAATGTCAATGCATTGCCATCGTCATTATTGTAATAAATTGTCGGCACAAGATCGGTTGTTGGTGTCGTTATTACACATAATGTTTGAGACATAACTGAATGTGAACGTTGTGGATGATTTGTAATTGCGCAAACATTGACTTGATAAGTACGATTGATACGTGATGGTATGTCTATTTGATGTGATTTCACTTCGATCATATCGCCATTTCGTTTTCCTTCGATGTATAATTCATAACCAATGATCGGTATTCCATACGATTTCGGTTCAGACCATTCGACAGTAAAATTCGTATCATTTATTTTAACAAGCCACAATTTCGGTGCGTCGGGTACACCAGGTATAGGTACGGTTAATTGTTCATATTGATGTCGATTACCGTTATCTGTCACAATGATCAGATCGATAACGTAGAAATGTTTTTCATCGCATGCGTCTGAAAGAAAGAAGATTTTGTTGGAAGATGTGTGTAGAATATGAATTACCGATGATAGCGGACGTTTCGTTACAAGCGAGGGTTTTTTCTTGAATACGTAAATCTTTTGACGACCGCCATTGTAAGATAAAATGTGAGATATTCTTTGAACGACCGATCTTCCATTCAACATTGATCTTTCCTAATGGTGAAGGATTGTTTGGATCTACAAGTGATCGGCTCATCGAAGTATCGTGAATAAATTCAAAATTAGCTCGAAGCGATCGAAGAAAATCTAAGTTAAGAAAAAAACAATTCATAATGAAATCTCTTTTTTCTCCTTTCGCCGTACCTTCACTTTTCAATGTTCGCACATTCAATATTTTCGATGGGGTTTCATCTGGTTCAAATCCTTTCTTATCTCCATCAGTGATCTATTAAAAGCAACATCAAGAGTTTTGAATATATTTTAGTTTTTCTTTTTCTACCGTATTTGCCATATTGGCTTGTTGAACAATAGTTTGTGCAACTAGTCGAATTTTGTATTCTTCACTTGGATGACAATCGGTCAAAACACATTGCCGTTGGTCTTCATCTAATTCGTTGTGTTTTCGATCATTTATATCAATTCGATATCCGATCAATCGTCGATGAATTCTCAATTGTTCATTCGTTCTTTCCGGATGATCAACAATGTCAAACATGCCCGGTTTATTCCAAGCTAAGTCAATTGTGTTCATTGTATAGCCAGTTAAGTAAATCTCTGGTTGTTCACACGTTCCTGGCGCATGGAAACGTACGGATGCTGATATATTACTTGTTAAACGAGTTTCTTTTCGATCTGATTCATCATCACCCTCTTCCAGATTGATTTTTACACTAAGAACTGTATCTAGACAGATTTTATATAAACCCGATATTAACGGTCCAGGTATCGTTGCCTTGGTTGTGCTTCGATCTAAGTCTAACGACTGTTCTTTACCGCCCGGTTCTAACTGCCAACGAAGAACTTGTTGAACACATTCAGTTGAACCATAAACTTTCGCCAAAGTCCATTCGAGTTTAATCGCCTCGATGTTCGCTTGAGTAACTTTGATATCACTTGCCGGTTCATAACCACTTGTTTGGAATTGAAAGGTTTTATATGGTAACCATTCGGATGGTTTCAATTTTTTAGGCAATTGTTTCACATCTCGGCAGCGATTATCGTCTAAATATTCCTGCGTAATACCATAGATGGTCGCGTTGTAATTGGTACGTTCAGCAAGGTTTGTAATAATGAATTCGGTGGAATCTGGCATAAAATCCTGCACGATTTCTCTTGCATTCGTTTCTGGAGAAGCAGGTTCACATAGGATACGTAAAGCTTTGATTTCCGCGTTATGTTCAACAAACGGATCGAAACCAATACGAACATCGGCATTTTTGCATGCGATTATATACACATTCATCGGTGGATCAGGCGGTGAGCCTGTAGTGAAAGATCCGATGTCTGAAGTTGTGAGAACATTGTATGAATCTATCGAAGAAAACATTTCTCTATCATTCAGATACTGAAATTAGAAAACGATAGAAAATACCTTTCGTTTTTGTGTGGCGTCGCTTTTTACATGCTTCTAATTGATATTCATACCTTGTATCTGATTGAAGGTCTTTTAGCTGTGCACTAGTTTGATCTTCTGAAAAGAAAGAACGACAAAGAAGAGTTCATACTTGGATTCTAGTGATCTGATCAAATCTTTTACTTGATAGTGTAACAATTCTTGGTTTATCACGTGGTAGATCACTATTATTCCATAGAATCAGTTTGTAGCCATCTGGTTGACACTCCGCAGGAGTTGATGGTTCGACTGAATAGAATAATGATAAGAAAGATTGTTGTGAAAGGAAAAGGAAAACCTACTTGGTAACCAACAAATTAGTGCTGAGCGACCTGCGATCTGTTCCTCCCAGACTTTTTTAGGAAGTTGAACAAGATCTGTAAAATCAATTTCAAGTTTTTCACTTGGCAAATAATGACCATGACGATCAGCATCGTATTCTATTCAAGAATAAGACTAGTCTCAGTCCACTTATTGGAAATCAATTCTTTCTGTTTACCTTCTCCTTTTCGAAATAGAACGCCACCAGGTTGATCTGTTATTGGTACAACTTGTAGTGAATACCGTTGACCCGGTTCCAGATCACTGATTGAAGCCCGTCGTCGGTCAACTGGCAATGCTTTGCCAATCGATCGGCCATTATTCAATATTTGATAACCCTATAGAAATCATAATTTCCTTTCGATCTCATCGATACGAAATTCAATAACATACAGTGAGTTTAACATCTCCATATTCTTCCGGTGCTTCCCAAATGATATCAACTCCATTGGAATGCATTCGTTCGACGCGTGGTACTGTTCCTTTGGGTGGTACAGCACATTTTAATCGTAATTCATTGGAACTATTCGATTCGATATCACATTGGTAACGATTTCCTTCTAATCTCTTCTGTCCAAGTAGAGATTTAACATGAATCGAATATTTGACATCAGCGTCTAGTTTCGTAAAATCATATGTGAATATTTGTCGGCCGTCGTTTTCCACTTCGCCATGAAGTTTTCCATTGAGGTATGTTCGATACGCTGTAATATCATCGTTTTCATGACTATCGGCGTCCCATTGGATACGAATTGAAAATGGTTTCTCGGCAATAACCGACTGAATCTTTGGAGGATGAGGATGTTTCGGACATACAATACGGATTGGTTCGGAGATTTTTTCATCAACAAAGTCTGGATGAGATGTGACCGAAACTTGAACTTCATTTGTTGAACCTACAGATACAAATCATAGTGATTTTTTGGCCATTTTTATTCGAAGGAGTTTTACCTGCTTTAAGATTACGCAATTCATATTCATGTTGAGTAGCTGAGAGAATTTCTGTTGGTTTCGAATTGAGAATAATACGATAACCTTTGACTAACGATGGATCGATCGTATCATCAAGTTTCCATGATAGATTCGCCGTTTGTACACCAAGTTTGGTAACTTTCAATACTGGTCTTGGTAATAACTCGATCAACGGATCAATTCGCTTAGTTTTCACTCTGTTCGATTCTGTTATCAAATATTTTGTATCGTTGGATCCTTGAAGATGATAATAAGTTCGAACAAACACCCTAGAATAGAACAATTTATCTTCATGTCGTCAGTGGTTTGTCGAATTTTCTTACAAATATTCATGTCGATCGAGTATGCCAGAGATTTCCAATGGAGAATTCGAAACATTCCAGATGTGCTCGACATAATCTTCATCAGTTGAACTATTTCAATATAATTAAAGAAAAAATGAACGAAGAGATAGTCGGTGACTTACCTTTCATCACTTTTGATATTTTCCGAGAATTCAGGACCGCGTACGTGAACTTCATTGATTGCAGTGAACACCCCAGCAGGAAGTGGCCGATCTCCATACCAATTCGCACGAATTGCTGTTCCGCTGATGGTAGAAACGTTCAATTTCGGTATGGGAAGTTCTTTCTCGACGACAGCTTTCTACAATATTGTTGACACACAAATAATGAAGAGAGTGGAAGAAATAAATCAATCGACATACATCAGTGGATTCATCCGATGGGTCTGATTTTTGTTTTGTAGTATGTTTCAAACCACTTCCAGGCGGAACCTCCACATTCTAGTAAAAAAAATCCATAAATTCACATGAAAGCACATACTAAAATAACGTACGAGAATATTTGATGTGTAACCTTCATGTTTTTTATTTTTGGGAATAATTTCCAAATAGCATTCGTGTTTTCCTGATGGTAAATTAACTTGAACTTTTGGATCAGCCAATGGTGATACTAATTCGCCATACGGTTTCTTGTCAACCACGATCTAAATAACAACACATATTGTATCTATACATCACGCGTAGTTTTCATCGTACTCGATAGTTTTCCACAGAATCATCCGCTGATGGGGATTTCTTCTTCCAGAAAAGAGTAATACCACCAGGATTTGGCTTATATGATACAGTTGGAGCTGCATCTCCCACAGCAGCAGCCTAAACGAAACATAAGATGACAATACAGATTTGGATTTTGAAGATCAACTGCATACAATTGGTTCGCTTGCATATCGAAACGAGTCTGGTCGTCTTTGTATGGGTTCAGCACTTGGAGCATCTGCGAAACAAAAAATGAGAGAAATTCATGCATAAACATGATTTAATTCGTTATTTCAAGCATTTCCTTTATACGATGAAGCTATATGTATGTACGAAGAAATTAATAGATGCAAAAGCGATTAGATAATGTAAAAAGAAAAAAAAAAGAAGAGGAATCAGAAGTGTCAAACTATGAAGCGTCATTAGATTTAATGTAATCATGTTTTTGAGCAGTTTTATTCAGTTTAGATGACCGACGTGGAGGCTTTGGTGGAAGTTTCGTTGTGTAGGTATCAGATGCTGATGAAGTTTCAGGTGATAGAGTTTGATGATCGACTGGTGCTGGTTCTGCGTCTGCATAGGTTGGATTGCGTTGTTTGATACGATCATCGATCGTTTTTGTTAATCTTTTCAAGAGAATTTTTGCTTGAAGGTATGGATCATTGACTTGTGCCGGTTCCGTATCTTCTTTCGATTGTTGTTCACTCTTTTTTCGTTCTGATTTCGACGTTTCTTTGGTTAGTAGTTCATCACTAGTCGATGCTTTTCGTTGATCATTTCCGTTCGTTTCAGTTTTGTTAGTCATCTGATCATCTTTCTGAGGTCGGATTTCACTCGTGCTTACTATTGGATTAACCATATCAGTTAAATGGGTACCTTGTGACGAAGAGACCTCAGGAGTAGAAGGTGAAGAAGTAGAGGAGGGAGATTTTTGAACAGATAATTTTGGAGTGGATAACCGTTTCGAACCCTCTAGAAAATGGACAAAAAAAAGCGTTTGTTTTGATAGCAACCATAACAGTGCTTTCAATTCTATTCCTGCGAGTCTCTTCGTCAATGTGTACGGATAGGACTTAAGAAAAAAAGCGTTATCTACTTAGCATGGCGAACAACCTCTGTGCTACGAGAGACACTCGACAGAAACAACAGACTTACTTTCAAGAGGAACATCATCTGGTGCTTGTTCGTATTCGGTGATTATATATGGAAAGAATTGGTCTTTGGTTGGCTCCTTGACAGTCGTTTCGATCGGCGGAGTAATAGGAATGATATTTGATTTACGAATTTCTTTTCCGTCTAAATAAAAAGACAACGGATAAATAGCGAAGCTTAATTAAAACAGACAATTCGATCATACTTTCCATCTTTGCTTCAACATAAATCAAATATTTTCGACCATGTTCAATGTCTTGAAATCGAATAGTATATAATTCGTTGAAATCTTTTTTAGTTATCTAAAAGTGAAAAAGAAAACACAGTACAGGCAAATTTCATTCTATACCAATTCACGTACTGTTTGTGCTTTAGTATCATTGATATAAACATTATATTCACTGACTGGATCGTGAATATGTGCCCACATGACAGTTAATCCATTTTGATTTTCCGATGTAGCCAAACTGATGAGTGGTGCACCGTCCTGAGTTTCTCGTTGCACTTCAAATGTCTAAAACATCACCATGTGATTAGTTAAGACGAAAATTGATGAGTTACTCGTTTGTTCGATGCGATCGATCGTCCGTCGGGTGCATTTGATTTTGGATGAGCAACAACATAAACTTCGTATTGTTCTCCCGCTGCAAAGCCACTGGCTGAAAATTGAGTATTGCGCGTTGTAATATTTTCCTTTTGCGCAACATCATTGATATACAATTCGAAATGATCAATGTGTCTCATGTAATCAGCTGGATCGATTTCAATCATTCCATATAATTTATTCGGATGTTTCAATGCAGAAGAAAGAATAACTTTGTATGAAGTTGGTATATCTTCCGGAATATTTTGATCACTCGATGATTGTGTGTCCAGTCGTTTCTAATATGTACAAAAGATTTGTGCTAATTAGTTTACGCGAGAGAGAAACTTACGTTCAGCTCATCTCTCTCTGCCTCATCCAGTATAAACGTTGGACTGAAACACGAACCAAAATATTTATAAAGCTGTTCGTGAAATCAAACGACAATTCCATACCTGCTTGTCACAATTAAACTTGAAATTCTTTGAGGTTCAACTGAACACGCTCGTAAAACATGCAGACCGTTTTCATTCAAAATAACTCCTTCATCGTCGTCGTATCGCTACAATCAAACGATAATCATTGATGTCTTCATCGAACAAAAGCTTACAAGGACATTTGCAGTACGCTGAGTCGGAGGTTTTCCATCCAGCGTATAATAAATACTCGCATGTCGACTAGGACAAGTGAGATGAACCCGTGCACCGAGTGGACTGATCGTATCGAGTTCTTCGTTGAACTGCGGCGGCGGAACGCGTTTTTCTATTGGGAACCAGAGGCGAATGACAGAATATTTTGACTTTCAAATCATCATTTACTTTGATCTTTGATTGTTTTTTCTGAATGCACAAAGACAGTAGCTGTTTGTTGAAAACGATTTGATCGAACGATGTACTCTCCTGTTTGGTGGAATGTATGTAAATGCTGAACATTGTGAATGAATTTCGTGATATTTCGATTAATCAATGCGTTCTAAAGTAATAGAAAAAAGTTTACTGAGAGCTGAATATCCGATTTCACATTTACATCATCAATTTCTTCGTTATCATCAACCGATCGGACATAGATTCGATCATTTTGAGTAGGATTTGCTAACACCCATGAAACAGTATCATTCTAAAGTGATCAATGGTGTTACTGAGTCCAGCAAATAAACAATGCGCCTTACTTCCGCTATATGGAGAACAGAAGGTACGAAATCATAATTACCAACCACAAGGCAATTTTGGCTAAAATGTGGCTCAACAATAATTGTCGCTACAAGTCGATCCTTTTAACAAAACATCGTAATTAACACTGTTCTTTTCGTTTGAAAAAGTTTTTACCTCAGTCGAACCAGTAACACGTTCGAAATCTAAAAGCAAATGCATATCACAAGAACGGACATCCTTTAAACTAACCTGGATTAGCGAAAAAGAATGTTCCCGATTGAATACATTCAATACCAAGACATTGTCGATATCGTCCTGGAACAGCTCGATCGTGGCAAGCGATTAAATCTTGTAATCTATCATTTGATAGGATATATCCCACATTATGAGAGATGGTTTCTTCAAATTTCCAAATGATAAAGTCATTGATATCAGTTATGATTGGTTTGTTATCGAACGCGTTCTTTCCGACTGTTCGATAATGAAAACGTACGTCCGGTAAGACAATGATCGCGACTGGATGGGTTTCGTCTTTCTCATCATTCGCCGTGGAAAAATAGAAAATGCCCGTCTCTGGAAATGATTTCATAAAGAAATTGACGCTTTTTTCTTGAGGCCGGAAAACTGGTCGGTCAACTACGAGTTCCTCTCCGAATTCATCCGTTTGATAAATTGTTTCAACTTTCGCTGATGATGATGGCTCAAACCAAACTTGATCATTACGGTTGATGATCAACGTTGGAGGTTCGAAAACATTGAATTCATTATAGACAACCGTATGTTTCTATCAAAGCGAGAACAATATACGCATAGATTTCTAATTAGATATATCTTACATCTATGTCGTTTTCAACGATGATACTCAAAAGAGGCACATTTGGATCTTCCGAATAAGCAAAATTATAAAGGCCATGTTGAGGAATATTGAGAAGTAATGTTTCACATGTATACAGATAGCGTTGAATCACTGCGTCAGCTCGAACACATTTATGTGCAGCTAGAAATGTACATAATTAAGAGTAACTATGGATGTATTTAATATTTCCAAGGTTACAGTAACAAATTAGTGTACTCATTCAGACAATGGCTGTTCAATGTCATTTCCTGCTTGCCAATATTTATCTTTTTCTTTTCTAACGGAAAGCCCGAAAGAGATGTAAACATACGTCGACATAGTTTCTTAAAATATCTCAAAAGATATACTCACAAGTTAAAAGGAAACTTGATTATAATAGTTTACACCCGTAACTATTATTTTTTATTAACAATAGCCCGTTTTTCGATTCGATTCAATCAAAATGTAAAAGCATTTAAAACTCAATATAGTTACTATGACAATCGATTCTTCGCTACGTACTCCTAAAGGACAACATTCCTGTTTTTCTTTCTGACTTATTTTACACTATGAATAATAATAAAATATTTTTAGCACGTACTGAATATCTCTCGGCATAAATTAAATCAATTAGCTACTTAACAAACTCAAGAGAATCATGACAACTGACAAATTTACTCACCACATTTGAATACTCCATCGACACCGTTAATTGCGTGCGGTGCAACCGATGACAGTGGATCGAGAGTGAATAAAATCGTTTTGTCACCTGATGGATCCATTAACCAATTGAATTGTACGACACCATTCGTGTTCATTTCATAAACTAGAAGACAAAATCAGTAGAGTCTCTGTCAATTTGCACAATCGTAGTTTCGCTTTTACTTGCTTGGTCGGGAACGACAGGTATTTGATGCAAAGTTTGACGCGCTTCGACAATAATCGTACCAATTTGATTACTTGTTGTTTTATAGCAGAAAACACCCGTTTCGTTAAATTGATGAAGCATATAACCTCGACGTGTTGAATCATTTGGCCAGAAAAAGTGTTCTTCAGGTGTTTTAAGCTAAAAATGTATCATGAGAAACAAACTTGTTTGTTTAAAACAGTAAAACAAACTTCAATCGATCGATTCGTGTTCGAGTCAACTGAAAATGGTTCGATTTGAACAATTGAATGTTTCCGTTTGGTGTTCCAATCAAACACTACCCAATCTGTTTGTTCAATCCACAAAATATTCGGTTGAATCTCTTCATCCGTTATTTCCACATGTTTCACTTTGTATTTTTCATTGACAATACATACAATGACATCATGAATTTCGTTTTGTTCGGTATAACGAATGAGAAATGACATGCCCAAGTCATTGAATGTCTTCACAAAACTTCCTTTTGTTGAAAATCGATTTAATCTCTTCTCGTTCGGTTGTTCAACAGTATAAAATCCGCCGGATACCGGACAATATTTCTTCTCTTCGATTCGGTAAAGACGTTGAGATGTCCATTCGATTTGCACAGTATCTGTTTGATGCATGTACACTTTTTGACTTTGTCTTTCGTCAGTTAACTGAAATTTAATATCGTTTTGATGAAGTTTAAGGCAATTTTTTTCACAGTAGATCTTTGGATATTTCCGACCTTTGATGATAGATTCACGTTGAGATGAAGGAATGACACAGAAATATAACTCGATCTCCGGTTGATTCAAATCGAATGAAAATGGAATTCGCCGTTGTTTCGGCGCAGTGCGATTTTTGATGTTTAGTAACTGGCAACCATATTTAACTGGATAATAATCATTACCATCTTTATAAACTTGGATGATATCGTATTCGTCTTTTCCGTTGACTTTGAATTCCACGGTATTGTCACATTCGATACGTAGTTTCGATGCTTTTTCCGCAAATGATCCATTGATGATTTCGATCACATGAATTAGAACAGTGTCATCATGTTCGTTGTGTGTGAAGCCGTGTCCTTGTAGTGAAACCGTAAGATTGGGAACTAGAAAAGAAAAGAAATTTGTAATTAAGATATTGTACGTAGCATTATGTAAATTTTCGATGGCGAAAAAGAAAGAAGCCTTAGTAATTAAGCGAACCTGCGGAAATTGGTTTATCAGTTTTCTTCTTTAGACCATTAGAATTCGAAGGATTGGTCTTATCAGCGTTTGATTTAACCGAGGCACCACAACCCATAGTGGCTGTCTCTTATTCTATCAGTATAGAAACAAAAGACAAGTGAGAGAGCGATTGTGTAAGCAAAACTTCCGCAGACTCAACTCTTTCGTCTAAAACAAATCAAAAGAACTTCATGAGAGATTTCTCACAGAAGCGAGAGAATATCAATGATCTAGTTTCTGATTCATGTACAGAAAGCTTTTCATTACTTAGTGTGAGATATGATTGATCAAATAACAAAAGAAAACTAAATGTAAAAGAGTGATTTTTCTTCTGATTCTTTAACTTTCTTTTTCGATTGTTATTTCATTGTTCCCTTTTTCTCTTCCGAGTTGCTAAGCAATAATTTAATGACATCTTCCATTCTTCAATCTATTAATTACGATTCTAATCCACATTCACTGATGCTTTCGAATTCATTAAACACACTTTTAATTAATTGGAATTATGTCATCTTTCTTCTCTTTGACAGATGTCAGTACTTTTCGATTGTCTTGACAACTAGTTGCGGGACTGTTTGCTTTTCTTTCTTTCTTTTTTATTCAAACATGCATGTTGAAATCTAAGTTTTCATTATGAATATTTATAATCTTAACGAACTTTCTACAACATCGGAATCTGATAGTGAATATTTGGTTGATTCAAGATATTGCCGGACAACAGTAAAATGCAAGCGAAAAGCTTTGAAAAAGACAATTAAATTGATTCATGGACGATGTGTTGTCATCTATCGAGGGAGTGGTGATCTTTTACCGATTGCAGCTAAAGATGCCGATCGGAATTGTTATTCTGGTAAAATCATCTTTCGAAATCGATCGATTTTGATCGAGTGTCATAGATTTTGTCTTTGTCTGTCATGATCCAAAACCAAAGACTAAATCAGCAAAAGAAACATCCGCTATGCCACGATCGAGATCAGCTCTATATGAATCATCAACTTCTGAAAGTGATGATCATGTGAGTAGGATTATCCGTGATGAAGAAAATCTTTCAAACGATCGTTTCTCTTGAGAAGGATATGAGGAATAACAATTTCTCGTATTCAACTTCACACGAACAAAAAAACTCGGCTCAACATTATACGAATGAATCTGTTCGAAACGAGGAAATCGATGTTGACGTTGATGAACTAGGCCAAGCTGATGAACAGGCATCCTCGATCATTTATTTCCCTTCATCACATTCGAAAACTACAAACGAAACAAGTTGATATGTAAAAGTATATTCTCATTTGACTACACAACTTAGAAATTTATCGACGTGTTATGTGTGTAGTGGCCACTTCTGCTGGTGTTATTTGCTGAAATCTCCAGCAGCAACAAAAATACTTTTTTGTTTGCTGACGAAAATGACTTGACGAAGCGAAAAATACATAGAAACTACTCTAAAAAAAAAACAAAAAACAAATATCAATCTCAAGTGATTGAAACTTTAGAAATCATCTCTCACTTACACCATAATTCAAAAAAGCCGAAAGACTTGTCACTGTAAAAGCAACTAAATCTTTTCCTTTTTGTTCTGCATCTTTGAGTGTACTCGCTGTTGCTAATGAATAAACATTATAACCACCATACGCTGCTATGCTAATTACAACAATAATCACTTGCATACAAATCATTGTAGTCAACTGTTGATCAGCACTATGTAATCGTGCAGTATTTTTCAATAGATGCATATTGTGATATGCAAGGACACCGAAAGTTACCATTACAGTAATAGATGTAGCTGTGAGAAGGCCAAGAAAGTAAACATACGACCAATACATATTCAAAATCCAATTACCAATGATGCACGTACCAGATCTATGATATTAAAAGTAGAATAGATGAAAGAAAGACCACAAGAATAACTTTACTGTATTTGATTGAATACTAAAAATGGAATGCCTTGAGAAATCCATACGGCGAAGACACCGATTGAAATACGATAAGCCCATTTGATCTGACTGAATTGTCGTATGTGAGCACTGCGAGATGTAACTAAGAACTGATCAATGGTAGCTAGGCATTGAAACGTCAATGCTATTCCACCAAATGTGGCAATAAGAAATTGACGGCATTTACACCAGACTAACGACACTCGAGTTAAATCATCATTGAAACCAAGAATGAGAAAACGTGGAATCTGACCACTCATCATCTGTATTAAACCAGTTGAAGAGGCCATTAACAAATACAATGTACAGGGAGTTCGACGGTGAACTAGTTCATGAATGAATATCCATATGTTCATTAGATTGCCCAAAATACCAAGACAAAATTGGGGTATACCTACGTACCGAGCATAGGATTGACTAATAGCTGCCCAAGATGCCATAATTCAAATGTACTTTATCAAAAGAACTTTGCAAGTACTATTATATGACAAAATAATTCTAGTATGCTGTCATCCGATTATTCATCAGCTGACATTTATGGAATCTGCAAAGCACAAGTAATCCTACTCTCCTTTTCCCAAAGCAAAATTCCCGTGTTGAGTAATCATGTTTGCATATCTAAGAATATTAATTGAGTAGGTAATTATCAAATATGAATATCCAAAATTTTGAAATCAAAATCAATAAATCTCATTGTTTGCTTGAGATTTCCTAAACCCTACGTATAAAATAGATTACAAAGCATCTACCAAATCTCTTCGCGAGATTTCCTGATTGTTAGCGATCACGTATCGCTCTTCTCTCCCATTTGAAAGAATGCTATCTTCGATACCATTCTTTCTCTCTGTTCTCTTTTCTTGCTCGTATATATATGTGTGTTAGACACAGTATACGGGACGTGATTCCCCTTTTTTTCATATACATCACTCCACAGTCCTGCAGACAGGCTCACACTGATATTACGACGCAACATTATTAATTCCATTACCATCTACATATTTCATTCAAATAAGCAACACCTCACAGCAAGACTACGAATGATGAAGATATCCTTCTAGGTATATTCGTATCGTTGGAGTTCATGTTTATAGAAGTGAAAGCCTGATCTTATTTTTTAAGTTTATAGTTTATTACTTCGATAATTGCAATCCTTTTCCGAAGATGAAACTATACATGGAATAAAAGGTAGTGACGTGTGACGATATTCATTCTATTTGTCTTTATTCAGGTCCGTTATTTGTGTCATAACAAAGTTTTCCGGTGATCATACTGACTAACCTACGTCTTTTCATACATAATTATTCTAAATCAACAGCAAATTGTAAAAAAAAATAAGGCTGTAACGAAAAGTATATGTAACATTTTCCAGAGAATACTCTCATTTGCTTCATATACTGGCTCCTATGATTAGTCAGAAATGACTGACGGTACGTTCTTCTTACAAGCACAAATTTAGAATAACATATAATTCAACATGTGACATCGTCTGAGACTCAAAGACATAAAATTTAGAGATCAACATATAATAATAACGTAGCAGTTGCTGATACCTCTATGATCATAGTGTTATTTCAAGACTGATTAGACGTATATGTATATTTATATTATTTTAAATGAAGAAAAAATATTCACAATCTCTCTCTCTTTCAAATCGAATTGAATACTTGTTGGGAAAAGAAGAAAAGTAGACGAGTGATACATGAAACTTGTGAAAAGAAAAACGAAAAAATGCTCACGAACAAAAAGAAAAGCAGAATGAATGCGAACAAGGAGAAAAAAGAAGAAAATGGAAAACAAAACATCAATTTAGATACAATAAACTTCATTCTTAGACACAATCACCGATATCCAATCAAGACAAATACATCAAATAATCTTCAGTTATGGCCTTCTGGAATCTTCATCTTCATCCTCATCATCATCCGAATTGCTTGAATCATCATTATTAACATCGATATCGGAATTGTTCGTTTCATCATCATGAACACTCGCCGAAGGACGAAAATTCATCGAATCTTCTTTCAAATGATGAGGATGGTGTTGATGTTGACAATCGCAACAATCATTTGACAAAGCGCAAAGATCATTCTTATCATTACTAGTCGAATTCTTCGTGGATGAGGTGGACTCTGTACCATCGGTGAAGTTATTATTGTTATTATTATTGGTTGAACTTGATGTCAGTAATTCTCGTTCTTTCGTATTTCGCCATTTCATTCGACGATTTTGAAACCTAAAAATAACACAAAGATTTTTCTCTTTCGCTTTTGTGCATTCATAATCGACAAATCGATTTCACTTACCATATTTTAACCTTGATGATGACGACAGAGAGAGAGGAAAAAAAAGCGAAATTTCATTCCTTCTATCTCATTCAAAAAGCAATTCTTACCTGAGAATCTTTCAATCCGAGACGTTGAGCTAGTTTTTTTCTCTCAGGCTTACTAATGTACTTCTGTTTAATAAATGCCAATTCCAGACCTTTACGTTGTTGATCAGAGAAAACAGCTCGTCGCAGCATGCCACGACGTGGTTTACTTCGAAGACCCAACGGCCAAAATATACTCGAAGGCGGAGGAGGAAGATATAGTCCATTCTGTGGCGCCGTGCCATTCAATAACGACGGTGTTGACGAAGGTACAGACGATGGACCATTATTACCGAAATAACTACCTGGTTGATTACCTATGTGAAAAAAAACACAGAAGAAAATCATCAGAATCAACAAAAGTGCATTTATTCATTCATAAATTGAATGTCTATTGTTTTCCTAATTGAATTGATAGACGACGATAAGAGAAAAAAATAATGTGATTAGAGACGAATATGCATCGAGACAATAGGACTAAGCCTAAAGTGAAGAAATCAAAACAACCTAGCCGAAAGGACTAGAGAGAAAGAAAGGGATCGTATTGCCTCTTGGCAAGAACTTGCATCTTCAATATTTATTTCTTCTTAGATCCACCTGCGTTTTATCATTTCATATATATGTACACACTTGAAATTCTCATGTGAAATCTGATAGGTAGTTAGCAAATAAAAATGTTGATTGGTAGTTGTTCTCATCATCATGATCATCATCGAATTAAAACCTGTTGTATATGTTTGCCCATGTAGTCAAGTAATTGAGATGTACATACAAGCAAGCACTTCGATGATGAAACAAGAGAGAGAAAGAGAGATGAAGTAAAAGGAGAAAACGGCAGAGAACATGTTCTTTAGAATAAATGTGTACACGAACGAGATTCAATTATGCTCGGATGTGTGTGTGTATTTATGCACATTTTGACTTTTAATTGAAGAATATAAGGTAGAGAATGAGAAGAAGGAAGGTGAGAGCGATCAATATGAAGCGATTATAATTACTTGTGACTAGGCGGGCGACGAGTATTGATAGGATCGAATTACAACGGATTTTACAAGTAGTAAAAAAGAAAATGAAGAGGAAAAGAACTTTTTACGTACCTATAAATGGTCGTAATGTAGGGCGCCATAAACCATTAGGTGGCGAAGGATGACCATCGAATGATAAGTGATGTTGCCGATTAGCTGAAGCCATTTGAAGAAAAAGACGATCTTGAAGAAGGCTTTGATGCATTTGTTCATTGTTATGATCTCGTTCTGAACTAGTAATACCATTACTGTTATTGTTGTTGTTGCCACTGATGATATTGGTATTGTTATTGTTGTTTGATGTGAGACAATTGAATGGTAAATACATTGATGATCCATAAATAGAATGGCGAAGTAATGCTGAAGGAGGCAAAGAAGATTGATCCGATATCGGAGAGCTACTATTGTGATGTGCGGGAAATGGAGGTTTGAATAGTGGCGATTTTGCTGATGAAGGTTCGTTTGATGATACCGATGAACTCGGAGAAGCAGGAGAGGCAACATATGCGCGTACTAAATAGGAAGAAAACTGCAAATAATTATGCTGAGCCTTTGAAGCGTACCTTTACGTCTTGATTCATCTTCCGATTCGTTATCTGAATGTGTTCCAAGAATGGCATCAACGCCAAATTTAAGTTTCTTCCGTGGTGGTAAAATATTCTTATGATTATTTGCCTTTGTTGCCAAATCCGACTTTGATGTTAACTCATCTTCATTATCATTTGCTGAATTTCTCTTCATTTTATTACAACCGTTACCTGTGTTTGTTAATAATGGTAATAAGTAGGAAGATTGGCGACATGCAGCGTCAATCATCATTTTCTAAATATATATGAATGTATGTCTGTGCGTGTGTGTGTTTATGTCAGGCAGGCAATCAAAATTCTCATTTTGTCGATTAGTTCGACGAATGTAGGGTCGGATCAGCTTCCATTAGTGTCCAATCATTGTCGAGACAGAGACAGAAAGAGAGAGAGAAAGAAAAAGAAAACTAAATGACGACAATCGTCCACCATTCATAACGCTTGCAGGTAAAAATATAATTCTCTCTCTTTCTCTCTCTCCATTTGTCAACTTAATATGTATATGTGTGTGTGCGCGCTCAAGAGGCCCGATACTCACTCAATAAAAAAGCGGCATTGATGAATGAAACTAAACTGATCCGTATATGAATTGAAGGGAGGAGAAAAGAGAAAGAGAATGTATTATAAAGATGTACAAACAATATAAGTAAAAGGAGAAAAAGTAAGAATTACGAAAGAAATCGAATGAATTTAATTGATACATTTACAATGAAGAAAGAAATTTTCTGATTGGTTCAAATCTATTTCTATATGGGCGTCGTTTATTCGATGATGATAATAACAATACTCGAAAAGAACAATAACAAATTTTCTACTTTTTTTAAACCATCAATCACGAATGGCAATAAGCTCTTGTACGAAATTCCTCTCAACGGAGAAAAATCCGAGTATTAAAAGGTAAAAAGATTCTTTCGTTCGATCGTTTCATACTGCCAATCGGAGCGTAGAAGAGCACTTTGAATTTTCGAGTGATTGACATAGAAAAAGCAAATTTGCTACCAGGCAAATAGACTCTTTCTTATTAAAACGAAATAGCTGCACAATAATGATGAAGGATCGAATTGCAACTTGCTTTCCAATCATTACTAAACATTTTTGCCTTTCCTTATTTCCATCTGATCATGTATCTGAGTATTGTCTCGATTGATTTTCTACTTTTCATTTGTTCCGGTAAACGATTACGGAAGAGGTTAAATTTCTATTTGTGAATCGATTGAAAAAGATCTTTATATAGACATTTGCGAAGAAAACAAAGTCAATTTTCTTTTAACAAATCAGTCGTATTCTATCGAACATGAACTTGTTCATTCTCTTGTGTTCTTGTATTTTATATAAGAGATGCTTGAACTGTATATGCTTGATTAACTTGAAACTCATTAGTTCATATTGATAAGTCACCTAGATGTTAAGCTATTTATTTCACCGCCTTGTTCTCTGTTCAAGAATGAACGATAGAAAACGGAAATCGGTATATTAAACAGAAAGGAAATGGAATTTTGTAGTAGTGCCTGCGAAGAGAGAACAATTTGAAATAGCTGGTGTTGTTTGTCACTGTCGAACGAATAGGATTAAAATGTGTAAATGAAGTGGTAACCGAGTTTGAGTTGATTGTTAGGAGAATTGAGAAGAAAATGAATATGTTCAAGAGTAGTCATCATCTACAACCTCTTTACGTGACACGCATGGTGAACATCTTCTTTTTTCAATTTGTTCACGAGTCACTTGAAAGTTTTGACGGATGACATGAATAATGAAATAACCGTTGATGTTTCACGCGGTGAGATGTAATGATGACGACAACGAAGACACATCATATAAATTTATACAGATTCGAAAAATCTGTTTTGGATAGTTAATTGAAAAAGATTGTCGAGACAATAGATCATCGCCAGAAAGGAAAAGAAGATTGATGCCCAATAGAAAAGCATGACATGTTACCGAAGTTGCTTTTTTTCCCCTACTATTCCAATGAAAGAGATATTCTCGACACTGTGACTTCTCATTAAGCTGTTTGTATAATACATAACATGCGATGCTTTCTTTTGTTACAAAGTACGTAATATATGAAAGATATAAGTAGATGTTTCAAATTCATGATGAAACATCCGAAGAACGAGATATCGAGAAGTTTATTAGTAGATCTTGATTAGAATCAAATACGAGATTGTTACTCAATCTGATTTAGTTTACAGAAAAGCAAAATAGCAAAATCTGCACTTTTATTTTCGAACACGAAACAAAAAAATAATACAACGATATTTACATATCTTCTACACTCCACAGATATGCTTCTTGTGCTTTTGCATGTCGGTTGGCAATGGATTCGAAGAGTTTCTTTTCATAACCATTCGAACGATCGACACCATCCCATCGGTAACCGGGCCAAATATCAAATCTGATTATAAATGAACATATAGATAACCGGTAGAATGAAGAAAAAAAGCGATTCATACCTATTTTTTTGCGGTTCAGGTCCTCGATAGCGAGGTTTTGGTGGAGCAGCATTACCGCCTGTTGATCGATCATTTGTATCAGAACCTTTTTTTGTCAGATATTTGAGCATTGGATCGTCTAATTCACAAAAGAAAAATAAATTCAAATTGATATTGGTGTAAATGAGGTAGAGATTACTTACCTTCACGTTCTCGATCTTTGAGCAACTTATCCAGACTTTCATCATCACGATAACGTGCTAATGGTTTATCTGCTTGTTCTAAATAATCTTTAACTGCGTTTTCCGTTTGTTGAACTTGAGCTAAACCGCGACCCCATTGTGCGTATCGTTCAGAAACTTGTTCTTTATGTTCTGCTAATCGTCTTCGTTCGGACTTAGCAGGTTGCGAGGGTAGAGGAGGCGATTCTTGTTTAACCCGACGATGGCTTGGTGGTGACTCGTGTCGTGAATGTCTATCGTTTCTTTGCTGAGGTGGCGAAGAGCGATCTCGTCGTCGTGGTGGACTGGAGTCATCATCGAATCTGTTCTTTCGTCGCGGCGGAGAAGGATCTCGTTTTCTGGGTGAGCTTGATTCGCCATCGAATCTGTTTTGACGTCGAGGTGGGCTTGGATCGTCATTGCCTTTGGATTGTTTTCTTCGAGGAGGCGATGGGCCGCGGCGTCGTGGTGGACTAGGATCGTCATCGAATCTGTTTTTACGTCGAGGCGGTGATGGATCATTATCATGTTTTTGTTGTTTTCTTTGGGGAGATGACAGATTGCGGCGCCGTGGTGGACTAGGATCGTCATCGAATCTGTTTTTACGTCGAGGTGGTGATGGATCACGTTTTCGAGGTGGACTAGGATCATTATCATCTTTTTGTTGTTTTCTTTGGGGAGGTGACAGATTGCGGCGCCGTGGTGGACTAGGATCGTCATCTGATTGCTGCCTTCTTCTTCTTGGAGGAGAAGGATCATCTTCGTCATCGTTCTTTTGCTGAGTTTTACGTCGTGGTGGCGATAGATCAGGATCATCATTTTTCTTCGAAGAACCACGATCGAGTTCGGGATCGCTATCATCAGATGATTTATGTTTTCGGCGCGATGCGGATGAAGATTTTTGTGGTTTCGGTTGAGGTCCAATACTACCGGGTTCAGGCACCTCGTCAAATGCTGATGTTTTCCACCGTTTCATATCTTTGAATCGTTCTTTTTCTTGAAGAGAAGGTGGACGTTCATCGATGATACCTAAAAACATAGTTTCAATTTACTTCGTCGATTGTCAAGAAAATGTCATACCAACAATAACTGGAGCATCATCGACTAGGTCGGGTTCTTCCTCAGCGATTTTTGCAACTGGTTCATGCGTTGCGTTCCATGGTACATATGCATCATCATCGATAATCTTAATTTGATCCGCAACTTTTGGCTTGGACTTTTTATCTTTGGATTTCTTCTTTTTCTCTGGCAAGGTCGATTCGATTTTAAAGCCTTTCCGTTCAGCTAGTTGACTCATATCTTAAAATTTGAAGAGAAAAGATCAAGTTAATTCAAATTCAGTCATTTTGTTTTACGATACGAATAAAAATGAACGGAAAATGGGTCTACCATATTGCTGTTCTTTTGTTTTTTGTCTTCAATAATCAATAAAAGAGGAAAAAATGCATATTACTGTACGTTGCGGTGGAAGGAGAAGCGAAATGTTATTGCACATAAATACGATATATAATAATAGGAAAAATAAAGAACAGAAAATTTCGTTTTTGTTCTTTTTCGACAAGAGCAAAAGAAATAAATTAAAAAAAAATGAAATTGGTTTACACGGGGGGTTTTGACTAAAAATGAAAGGAAAGATAAACGGAATGTAACAACATAGAATACTAAGAAATATCATAAAAAATAGGGGTGAAAGTTAATTTTCTTCCATATCTCGGAATGCAGCTTGCATACGTTCGTTAAGATCATCAAGATCACGTTTAATCTTATCTTCAGAATCTTTCGTTGGATCCTATAAACGAAAAAGTCCTTGCTAACATTGCTCTAACGTTAATTCGAACTTACCTTGAATTTCATGCTTGTTAATTCATAGAGAATATCATTAAGATTTGTACGAATATCATTCCATGTTATTTTCTTTTCTGATTGAGCTGTTGTTTCGACAGCATGACGAGCCAAGTCATAGAATGAAATCATATTACGAAGCATTAAAACGCATTTATAGAATGGGCAATATCTTTAAAAGATACAGCAGATATGATGTGTTCGTTGTGAGAAGTATTGTGCTTACTTATCATGCGATGAGTAGCCGTTTTGTTGAAGAAAATCATCTTTAATTATTCGAGCCACTTCAAGTGTTATTTTGTCTGTTTCAGCTAAAGAAGCTTTACCAACGAGCTGAACGATATCCGAAAGATCTTCTTCTTCTTGTAAAATTTCTTTACACTAAATAGATTCGAAATCGATCTCAATTTTCTTCTTTCCAGATAAATAATCAAAAATTGATTTACTTTGGCACGTAATGGCACGAATTCCGGAAACTGTTTGTCATAGTAGTCGTCAAGTGCGCGTGTGTATTTACTATATGAAATAAGCCAGTTAACCGATGGGAAATGTTTACGTTGTGCTAATTTTTTATCTAAACCCCAAAAGACTTGAACAATACTTAATGTTGCAGCCGTGACTGGATCAGCAAAATCACCACCGGGTGGAGAGACACTACGAAGAGACGAATCGTGCAGATTTGAGTATCGAAAACAATTCAAAAGATAATTACGCTCCAACAATGCTGACTGAACCTTCACGTTCTGGATTACCCAAACATCGGACACGACCAGCACGTTCATAAAACGAAGCTAATCGAGTACCTAAGTAAGCTGGATAACCCGAATCTATAAGGGAAAAGAGAATACGTTTGTTAACAATATCAATCGTTTGTTTTCTTAGCAAATAAACTTACCAGCAGGCATTTCAGCTAAGCGACCTGAGATTTCACGTAAAGCTTCAGCCCAACGTGAAGTCGAATCAGCCATCATAGCAACATTGTAACCCATATCACGAAAATATTCCGATAGAGTAATACCTGCAATAGAAAGTTCGGTAAAGCATAACAAATCTCCGACATTTACCTGTATAAATAGAAGCTTCACGAGCAGCGACAGGCATATTGGAAGTATTCGCAACCAAAGTTGTTCGTTCCATAATAGATACTTCTTTACCGTTAACTTCCATTTTCAACTAGAAGAGAAAACCATATTACCTTAGGATGAATTTTCTCAATTAAGAAAATAAGAGCGTACTTGAGGAAAATCACGTAAGACTTCAGCCATCTCATTTCCACGTTCACCACATCCAACGTAAACAATAGCGTCACTATTAGAAAACTTCGATAATGATTGTGAAATGACAGTTTTGCCACAGCCAAAGGCACCTGGAATAGCTGTTGTACCACCTTGGACACATCTAAATAGAGAAGATATTGATTTTCACCCAATAAGATCTGCATAATCCACACATACGGAAATAATGCATCTAAAACACGTTGACCGGTTAGTAATGGATGATTAGCAGCAAGTTTTTCTGCGACTGGTCGCATTTGTCGCACAGGCCAGATTTGTAACATGGTATGTTTAGTTTTTTCGCCATCGAATTCTGTTTCCAGAACGACATCCTAACGAACGAGGAAGAAAAGACATCATCAAAGCAATCTCATTGTCTTCCACGTACATCCAAGGTATAATTGCCATCTGGTGCGATATAGGTAATAGTACCTTTTGCTTTTGGATGAAGCATAATTTTATGTTTGATCATTTGATTTTCTGGCACACTACCAAAGATGTCACCACCAGTTATATGACCCCCAACCTAAAAGAAAAGGAAACAATCTGGAGAAGCAAAGCGCATAACAAAACGTTCGTACGCGAAGACGATTATCTGGAGTAAAATGCCATGAAGTTGAACGCTTTAATGCTGGTACATTGATACCACGTGGAATATAAATGCTCTTAGTATGATCATAAATAACTTCCAATGGTCGTTGAATACCTATTTTTAACAGTGTTCGATAATTCGAAGATTTTTTTTATCGGGTAGAATTGAATCATACCATCAAAAATACTTGTCATGATGCCAGGACCAAGTTCAACCGATAATGGCTTACCAGTTCGTAAAACTGGATCACCGACCGTAACACCGGCTAAAGAGAGCAACAATTAGAATAGAAATCTCAACAAAGTCTCCGAGTTCGTACATGTTTCTTCATAGACTTGAATTGTCGCTAAATCATTTTCTAGACGAATGATTTCGCCGACCAGTTCTTCGTGACCGACTCGAACCTAAAAGTGAAGGAACGAGCGAATTTTAGTAAGAAGAAGTGAATGCGAATTTTACCAGTTCGTTAATTGCTGAACCAGCCATATGATTGGCAATGACGACTAAAGAAAGAAAGAGAAAGTTAACTTCGCCTATCAGAATGTTTTTGATTTGTACCTGGACCAGAAACGCCGAAGACATAACCATACTGTGCTTCTCGGTCAGCATCAGCAACTCTTGGAAGATTATCTCGACTAATCATGATTTTGAAATATCAGCGATGGATGAAAGAAGCAAAATCTAGAATGAGAAATTTTTCTCCGAGATTGCTGTAATGATATTAACAATTAGTAGAAAAGAAAACGATAGCAAAAAGAAATGATGAATATTAAAGTTTTTTTTCTTTTTTGGTTTTTTTGGGTTTTCTCTTCGATAAATTCATTTCATCTTGATCGTCGTTCAAATGTCCACTACTCGAGGGGAGATTTGCATTGTTTGCCAACGTTGGTGTGTTGTTACTTGTGGTTCGATTTAACATTCCAGCGACCGGTGTTGTTGTTTGTTGTTGTATGATAGGTGCCGCATCAGCCGGTGCTTTTCGTTTAACATCTGGTGATACACGCGACGTTTGCTCATTGAGAACACGTTGAACTTGTGGAGATGGTCCGGGAAGTGAACTTGAAACTGATGGGGCAAGAAGAGTGTCTGTAGGAGGAATAGAACGTGTCTCTTTCGGTGAACTTGTATAAATTTGAAACGTATCAGGTAGAATTGGTTCACGAAGTAAACGAAATGCGCTTAATTGTTGCTCTGTAAGTGGTATTATTTCCTTGGGAATGACAGGACCACTTAATAAAGGACGTAATGTTCCAACACCACCATTTATATCGCCGGCAAACAATGCGGCTTTATGTTGTGCTGTTTCAACTAGTGGAATATCTGTTAAAAAGTCACTTAATGACGGTGGAATAGGTTGCTTGACATATCTATCAAAATCACGTCGTAAGCCCCAATGATCAATAAGATTTGTACTACCAGTTGGTGGTGATTCGAGTGGAAAGTGGCTTAATAAGTAAAATGGAGGTGATGGTCGTTGCGGTTGAGACTGAAGTTGTTGTGTTGAAGTTGCATCAAGCATCAGAAGATCATCATGTGGCATATTGCCATTGGTTTTTGGAAGATGATAACCTCCTGTTAAACTCATATCTACAAAGAGAAATCTTTTTCTGATTAAAATGATAAACAATGAAAGCATGCATATAACAACGCGTTCTTTTTTTCAAAAAGACGCTAAATCACCTAAATACTTAAGCATCACTCTACAGTATAAAAAAAACAATATCAATCAATGAGACGAAACAAATTACGCTGAGTACATAAACGAAAGTTTGTTCGGACAGAAGTAACATCGCAATGAGTTCACTTTTTCTCTTTGCCAAAGGATTTTGAACGTTCTCTATCTTGAGATGGACTTCCTATCGATCCTGATCGTTCGTCTTTCCAAACATATGTGCCTGTATAAATATAACCATGCATAGCAGCGCCGGCAAATGCTTCACGTAAGCCCACTGCGCCGAACTTATACGGTATGACCGGAACTTTTTTCTTATCAATTTCCGCAAGAATTGGATCGACAATGCGCCAAGCTTCCTGCAACTCATCGGAACGGACGAAGTTGATTTTCGAACCGGTAAATACGTCCAGTATCAAACGTTCGTACGCGTCAGGTAGTTTCACACCTTGGTAACGTTCGTTGTAGGTTAAATCTAATTCGGTTCCTTCGATACTGAAGCCCATTTCACCAGGTCTTTTTGTGTTTACTTTAAGATAAATAGCTTCATTGGGTTGGACGCGAATGACGAGCTCGTCACGAGCTAATGTTCCTTTTACGCCGTGCTCTGTTAGTTCTTCATCGAACATGCCACCGGGAACGTCGCGAAATTGTATACGAATTTCAGCTTTTTTCTCATTTAATGCTTTGCCTAAAGAAAAAATAACACATAGGTGTAAAAATGAATGATATATTCGCAACGATATCTCTAATATACATATATAAAACAGAAAAACATCATTCATTCAAGGACTCATCATCATTGATGTCGGCAAAATGCACTCGATTCAGAAAAGTTCAGTTTCGTATATCAGTTACCTGCACGTAGGATGAAAGGCACACCGTCCCATCGTTCATTGTTGATGAAGAGCACAACTTGTGCATATGTTGGTGTTCTGGAATCTTTCGGTACTCCATCATCATCTAAATAACCTTTCTGTCGTTCAGGATCCGTAGAATCTTTATCACCGATGTATTGTCCAATGACGACATCTTCTATCTTGATTGGTGCTATACAACGTAATACCTTGACTTTTTCGTCCCGAATATCTTCACCTGTTGTTGAACGAGGTTTTTCCATTGCAACAATGGACAAAATTTGCATGAGATGATTTTGTATCACATCACTAAAAGTGAACAATCATGATTGATGACATTGCTTTCTCATGAGTACGTACCGAATGATTCCGAATTCATCGAAATATCCTCCACGTCCTTGTGTACCAATATCTTCTTTGAAAATAATGTTCACAGCAGCAATAGAGTCACGATTCCAAACCCGTGAGAAGATTTTATTTGAGAAACGTAGAACAATTATATTTTGAACCATTTCTTTTCCTAAATAATGGTCAATACGATAGAGTTCTTCTTCCGAATAGAATTTGTTCAGATGTTCGGATAGTTTATTTGAACTTTCAAGATCTTTTCCGAATGGTTTCTCCACAATTAAACGTAGAAAGCCAGGTCTAAAACCGCAAAAAATAATCAACTGATCAAAAAGACAAAGATTTGCATACGATTCCGGTCGGCAATGTTTGCTTATCATTTCTGACACATTTCCATAGACACTTGGTGGAAGGGCCAAGTAGAAAAACCGATGTGCAGTTGCTTGTCCGGATATTTTATTTGTTTCTTTATTCAAACGTTCGAAATCTTCCGCTTTATCATACGAACCATGTACGTACGAATTTATCTTGATAAACTGCTCATATTTCTCACGTTCATCATCTTGGACCTATGTGAAAAATAAAACACAACAACTAGGTCTTTTGTCTTGACTTTACTCCCTTACTTTCATATATTTAGCGGCATTTTGAAAGATTTTTTCCACTGTCAATTCACTACGAGCGTAACCAATGAAACAAGTATTTTCTGGTATAAATCCATCCCGGTAAAGCCACCTACAAATAGAAATCAAACTAATCCCTATCAAAGGTCTTTGTTTGTTACAAACCATAGAGTTGGATAGATTTTTTTCTTTGCTAGATCACCCTAAAATTTTCAAGTCATTTCACTTCGAATATGAAATCGATGGAACACATACCGATGCTCCAAAAACAAAGAATACATGGCGTTGAGATCCAGTCGATGAGCCAATGTTTGTAACATGGGTTCGTAGACGTTGATAGATGCAATCGACTTTTTCCTTTACACGTTCTTGTAGACTCATGTTCTTACTAAATGAATTGTTTGACTTGATAATTTAAGCGAATGTATGTATAAAGTGTGCTGTACTTATGATTTCAGATAGATACTGATAAGAAGAGAAAAATAAATAAGAAAATTTGTTTCGACATGTTGACGCGAACAGAAATCTGAATAACCAACGAGCGAATGGGAAAGAACTTCGAACAAATAATATCACTTTTATGAACCAATGGATAAGACGCTTAAGCTACCGACATCTGCCGATAATCTTTGAAAAAATATTAATGAATTTTTCTAGTAGTTTTTTATCAAGAGAATTTACTTTTCTCGATCGATTTATTCCGAACGGAACATTTTCTTTGAACATTAGTTGCTTCACAACGGATGGCAAAGAAGTCATTGATTATGGCCACAAAGTCACCGATTAATAAGCGGCGATTTTTCAGAAGAAAATATGCAAATTGCTAATCGAACTACACGTCGGTATATCACACCACCGGCAAATAATCGGTTAGCAAGTAAAAAACCAACTCATGTTCCACCTGTGTAAGAAATCGACTTTTTCACTGAACAGTAACATTCGAAGTTAATGTATATTTTAGATCTCATTCTTCACCCAAGAAAGCCATTGAAACTTCAGCGCAGAAAACAAAAGATGATCCGGCGACGTTAAAAAAGTTTGTTTATAAAATCATCAGAAGCAAACGATGTACTTATGGATTTTAATTTTAGACTTGTTGACCGTTTCCGTTACGATGAACCTCAAGCCCGGCCAGAGCGCGAATCAGTTAATTCTGATTTCTGGTGGCTACACGGTAAAATTTTCAGATAATATTGATCAAATCTTGTGATTGATCATGTAAAATCTAGATGAACTGAAAAATACTTATGGATCCGACACCGATCGGGATGATGGGTCTCGAGCAAATATTCCTGAATTTATTGAAGTAAAGTTTTCTATTTTAATGATCAAGACATTCTCTCACGCACACTTCTTCTCTTAGGTCTTTCCTTCGACGGACATTGATCACGATTTGAGTAAACGAGCGTCGTTACTTCTTAATCAAACCGTGAGCGCGCACTCATCTGATGTTGGTCATGTTTCAAGTGTGGGGATTGGTTCGACGCCATCAACAACAATGACTACAACAACCACCACCACCAGCACTTTTCAACCTCCTGTTCGAGAACAGCCAGCTCGACCGTTGTTTACACGAATCAGTACGGAAAGAGTCGATCTATTATTACCACTACTATAGCTTATTTCAAATATTTGATTTTAGCTGATTCAAAATATGAATTTAAAAGTGATGGCGGTGATGAAGACATCTTATATCAGTGGCGATTGAGAAGACGATTAGAGCAAGCACAGAATGGCGAACCCATAACCTTTCCGTCAAAGGTAACCATGAAATATTCGACATGCACCCATATCTTAATCTCTATATTTTTCAGATAGCAAATAGAGCTAATCTATCTCCTGTACGTCCAATTCTACCATCTGTGCCTATCGAAATACCTCCAGTGGTTCTACCGCTTCCAACACCACCTCCGCCACCAATATTATCAGTGACGAAACCACTGTCGCCACAGCCGAGAGAAACACAACAACAACAACAACCATCAATTACTATTTCCGATTCAGAGCCTATCAAACAATGTATTACCACCCCTATTCCGATTCGACAGTATTCAGAAGCAGCAACTCAAACACTACAAGTATGTTTGAACCTTCATTATACATTTCCGAAACAATTTCCATCGTTTAATAGGATGCTTGTATTCAAACATCTCCGACTATTGAGCATCCTCTTTCTTCATCAAATTTCATGATGAATGAAATCGATCTTTGCCCTACACGAGATGAAAATCACCAGTCATCAGTATGGCATCGTCCTCCACCATCTCTACCTTCCAAATGTGAACTTACACGAACATCATCATCATCACCTTCGCCCGTCAAACATCACCACCGTCGTCATCATCATCATCATCATCATTCCTTTCGTCCAGTTGTAAGCGCTGGCCATCCGACTATCCAAGACAGTTCTCATCATCAACAATCGATGATCTATCCTTCAAATACTGTTCAGTCATCGCAAGATAGTACTCTAACACAAGTGACCTCAATTATGTTGAATGATAATCATCATCATCATCCAGCTGGTCTTGATAATCATGAACCATATCGAGACAATACCAGCATTGCGATCATCGACGAATCTCAGCAAGGTAATTTAGGTGATATCGAAGAAAAAGCAAATTTTTGAATAATATCGTTGCAGATTACGGACAGGTTGATTATTCAAATGATGAAATCTTGAATATATTAATTCAAAAACGTAATGAACTTCTGGTAACATTTCGGTAAGATTTAATCTTTTCTGTTCAATAAATGTCACTAACTACGTATGATTAACATTTCTTTATTATAGAGATATTGAACAACAACTTGCATGCATGAATTGAAATCATAAACTGTAAATTTTGATTAAATCTAGTGTCAGATTGTTCATATTCTCCTTTTAGTATCACTTTCTTTCTGTTCGTATATTTTTCTTATTAAATAGAATAAATTTAATGTTCAACAAGTATTTTCTTCTCCGTTGGTCGCAATGATATTCAATGGTAGATCGAAAGATTTTTCTTTGTTGATCTTAATCCGCAGACGTCACAATCCGTGTAAATAAGTACAAAGAAGAACCTTTAAATAGACACATACCACCTAATGAAGATACATTCTTGTCTAATAATTTTCATATTTCTCACAGCAGTTCTTCCAACAACTAGTTTCACTGACCCGATTTATAAATGAATAAATTCTAGTCTAAGGATGGATTCGTGTACGAAATAAAGGTGTTTATGTTGCGAGATTTTATATTGATTATCATGCTCTCCATTCTCCAACTGGAAACTTGACATCAAATCTGTATTTTCCTATTCGATTGTTAAATCTTCGGCTTCTCTTCGTAGTTTATAGTTACTTAGAAGTTTTAGAAAAATCTATTAATGCAATGATTTTTATCGATTGTTACGTTTTGTGTTATAAAGAATGTTACACATCATAAAAAATCGATTTCTTTAAAATTATTTTCTTGTTGATATAAATTTTTTTTCTTCTTCTAAAGAGATCGTGTGAAAGAAAGCACTAAGTATGTCTTATCAAATGTTTTACTGCATGTCTAAAGGCCATTCGATATATGCATATTACCTGGAGATTGCAAAAATATTACAAATTGACGAACCAATTTATCGTGCACTTTTGTTGAAAGAACCAACTTATTGAAAGAGTTTCGACTAGGTTTCATTCGGCTGGATTGTTCAGTTAACTCATTGAGTTTTATTTCGAATAGAAAGAAAAGATACTTGTATACAAAAAAAAAAAAAAAGAAAGAATTGAATAACAATGGCAATGTTTATGTGAGGCAAAATGGATGAGTTTTTAATAGACGTGAGAAGATACAATCAGAAAGAGTGAGGAATCGAACATGAATGGTTATATTTACACTAGAACAAAACGGAAAAATATGACCATTCGATCTGATGGATAATTGAATGACACTCTTCTAACTTGTTTTATTGTTCTTAGTTGTCTTTAAAGATTTTGTTTTTCTTAAACAATCAAACAAATAGTTACAGCGAGTAACGAACAAAGAAAAACAAGAAAGCGATTAACAATTTGCTTTTCGCCAGCATTCCAATAGTAATTACCAAAATTACCCGATGAAGGATAGTAATTCGATTGATAACCCGGACGATTATAACTACTACCGGAATAACCTGAGCCCGAATAGAAATTACCCGAACTTGGATATTGATTTTGATAGAAACTACCATACTGTCCCATACCTTGTCCATACTGTCCGTCTAAAGAATCAATTTTTTTAGACAATCATCAACGAAAATCGTTGTTACACTTACATTGACTTGATCCGTATTGGCTACCATAACCTCCTGAATTGCCATATGGATTGTAGGCAGAACCTTGTGATCCGTAATTATATTGTTGGTTTTGATACGGATAATATTGTCGTCCGACTTGATTTTGCGGTGCGTTGACATCTCGTGGCATACCAATACCACCCTGGCTAAGTTGTTGTTGCTGTTGATTAAGTTGTGGTTGGCCTTGAGCATTTAAGATCTGTGGATTCGGTGGCATTGGTTGTTGGCGAGCATCTGTTGCTGCATTTATTGTATTTGGAGGAACGTTTGGATTAGCCGATTGCGGATTTAATCCCGATTGTCTTCGACGACGAGCTCGATTGGCATCGATTACTAAAAATCGAGAAGGACACAAAATGAAAGAACGTTATTGATCATTCAACATTTGCATATTATTTACTTAAATATTTTTCAAATGGTTTAGTTTAACATACCCTGTTAAAACGGAATTTCGTTATGATCTAACTCATTGATCACACCAAATAAAGGTCAGCGTAAGTCTGCTGTTTTAACTCATTTGATGCTAACCTTTAATTTCATCTTATTCACCTCATACGAAGGTCATTGACTGACACATTCTGAATGTAAAGATTATCAATTATTTTATCTTCTAATCTTACATGAAATCAAAACGAGACTTTTTCTATTTACATTTACCAGTTATTCCTCAATTATTCATAAAGTATTCATCGTTTTGAAACTCGTTCGTTTATCAAAGTGACGTTCGCTTTCGTCAAGATATCCATTGAACAGTGAGAAATCACAGCGCTTACCTATAACATATAATAAAACGATGGTTAAGATCGTTTTCCAGATTGCGGCCATGTTAATTGAATAAACTTATTGATTTTATTCAAAATCTGAAATCTGAAATTGCATGAGAAGTGTTTAAAAGGACAGGGGAGAGAGAGAGAGAAAGGGACGCGCGGAAAAACTTTGCTGCTCAAAAATGTTCGAATTGCATCGTTTCTTTTCTTCTTTTCTTTCTATTTGAACAGTAATGGCAGACATAAAATAGCTGATGATGATGATGACGACGACGACGAACAGTATATGTAAAAACGAACTATGGGATGTGTTGTGCATTCGCATAAACTTTTCTCTTATGTCTCCTTTTATGCTTTTTCTCTTTCAATTTCTTCATTTGCTATCCTTCAGTATGTCTACAGTTCTTTTAGTGTATTTTTTTTTCTTTCTCCCTCGTCGTTCTCTTTTATTCTTCTTCTATGTAACTCAATGCACTATTTTATTAATCATCATGTTAAATTTGGTCATCCGTTCATCATTTGTTCATTGAGTAGTCGACGTAGACGGTAAAATGTGTGTTAGTTGTCTCGACTTCTTCTCTCTCTCGATGTTTGTCTGCTTCTTGACGCGAATTTTGGTCAATAAGTGGGGTTGTCATCTCTCGTGAACTTAGAGGTCAACATTCGTACCTTGTCTCATTCTTTTTCGACGTGTATACCTATGTCTGCATATCGCCATCGAATGACGAAACACTATGTTCGTTTTCATTATACATGTAATGTTAATGGAATTTTTTTTTCGTCATCAGTGCAGTCCCTATCATTCGCTTTCCCTTGTTTCTATTTGTCCTCCTTGATGTATGGTGCATAAAAAGCATACATACCATCAATCTACAAACTATCATTTTCTATAGTGTTCTGCTTGTCGAAGGACAAAATCGATTCGTTTCAAACTCCAAATATAGATATTTGGTTGATTAGACGATAGAAAAAAAACGAACCTGTCATTGTACAGTGAAGTGTTTCGTTATAAAAAAAAAAGTACATTGACAATTTACATTTGTAATAACCGAAGAAGTCGAGAAAAATATTATCGTACGGTTTTGTTGATGGCAAAACAACGCGATAAAAGGAGAAACAGATATTTGTACCCGATATATTCTTCCACAATGGGTTAGCTTGATTTATTCAATAAATACGCTTGAAAATGACTAGAAAAAAGCTTTCTCTCCTATAGTTGGAATGAATTACTCATTTCGGTTCCTTAAATGAATAACGATTTGATTATTCATTTCTGATGGCATTTATTTAGGAGCAAGCGGTGCGAAATGAGTAATTTTTCTCTTACCATAACGAGAGAAAATCGGACGGATGAGTCATCACTGCGGTTTTTATTCAATAGATTCAATGAATCAAAAGACTCCAAAGCGACTTTTTTGTTATTCATATGTGTAAAAATCGTTGGCAGCAATTTTTAAGAACATCAGGCAATGTTTGTGTCTATGTCGGTCAATAGAGAATGTATTGAAAAAGATGTGGCTAAACAAATAAAATAATACTTATAAATTTAATTAAAATGACTTGAAATAAAGTGGACGGAAGTTATTTTCTCAACGACGATTTATCTCTTCAAATTCCGATTCGCTTTTTTCTCTGTTGGATATAAAAAGAACGCTGAATGGATAATAGATTATGAAATTAACCTAATCGCAGTAGGGCACATGGGTTACTGCAAGTATAAACAAAGTTTTTAACTAATATTCTAAAAAGCAAGAGCAAAAATAGTTCGATCGTTTTTTTACGATATAATCTCTGTCTATGAGTAGTTGATGTACTCAAAACATCTGATAGGTTACATGTCTCAAATATGTTTGCATTTTATTTTATTCGAGCTGTTCCTATTTGAAACGAAAATGGTACGACTGAGCCATATCGATAGATTACAAAAAACTTCGATTTGAGCTGCTGCGTCTAGTGGCGTAGCCAAGATTTTATGAATGGTCCGGGAAAGTTTTCTGAAAAATTAGAAGGCTAAAAACTTTCTCCGAGGCTTTCTAAGAAGTTCTCGCCGCTACAGGAAGGTTTTCAAAAAACTTGGCGGTCTGGCGGCACCAGGACATGTCAGGCATTATCTACGCCGCTCACTTGAACATTACAGGCTCAACGACAAATCCAAAACGTAGCTAAATTTCCATCAGAAAATATGCGATTTGAGTTCGTTTTCTTTTTGTAAACGATGATTAAAAAAAGAACATTGCGGTTACAAATCTTGTTGAATGAAAAACTAGTGTTATCATAGTACCCTTATCGATTTCAAACTGATATTAGACGAACATCTGATAGTAAGATGTGCACGAATTGAATTACTAGGTGAATCGATGTCGATCACGATATGATCGATCGTTTGCTTGCGAATATTCAGTTACACAAAACATCGATCTATGTTTGATTGCATGTGGTTTGAATACCTTTGTTTATAGGTCTTCAGTAATCGTTGAGTTGAAAAATAAGAACTAAAGGTAATGCAAACGGGATGTTTATTATATGAAAATCCGCATTAGACAAGAAAGTAGACGAAAAACGGATTTGAAATTTAAAAAAAAGAACCTATACTAATATTGCTAGAACGCGAGTTCGGAAAACTGGTAAACAGCTTTTAAGACTATACTCTTCGTATATTGTTTATTCATTTTCGGTATAATCTTCTGGGTATTCGCCATCATCAGAAGCACCTGGTTCGGGGGTTTTGCCAGCATCTGGTTTACCTGCATTTTGTTCTCCTGGCGCGGGTTCTCCATCTTCTTCACCTTCGCCTTCACCTTCGCCTTCGCCTTCGCCTTCCTCTTCGCCTGCGTTGTCACCATCTGGCTGAGGTTGCGGTTGGGGCTGGGGTTGAGGTTGAGGTTGTGGTTGTGGTGGATATCGGTCTGGCTGATTATAAGGATTTTGATCATATGGATTATAGCCTGGATATTGTGGTTGAGGTTGAGGTTGTGGCTGTGGTCGAGGATAATAACCGCCTTCGGTTACCTAAAGATGTCAAATATAGTAAGAAAGTGAAACAGAAGTGAGAAGAGCCGATTCTAACTTGTAAGTCAATGGTAGCTTGATCTCTTGGACTGCCTGTGCCAGCACTACACTCATATCGACCAGCATCAGCGGGGGTGGCATCAGGAATAGTAAGACGGACAAGTTTGCGATTTCCAGGAAGAGCTGTGCTTTGTGATTTATATGGTAATGGCTACAACGAAACATGGAAATTTCAAAATAAAAACTCTTTTCTATGCAATATTTTCTATTTACTTGGTTACCAGCTCGCGACCAACGTGGTTGAACATTCTGATTATATGGAGCAATGACTTCACAGTCAAAATAAATACTTTGTCCATTTGATACACGAGCACCCTCATCAGGTCCATAAATGTAAACACTAACGCCACCTTGTTGACTATACGGATCATATTGAGCTTGGAAACTATTTTGTCCTTGTATTGCTTGCGGACCTCGGTTGGGTGCGAGCCCAGTACTTTGAGCGTATTCCCATGGCACACAACGTTCACAACATTCACCTGGAAGAGTTACTGCAACATAATCTCTTCCGCAGTTAGGCACAGCGCATGCTCGAGGATTACAATTTGGATCTGAATACGTAAATGTGTATTTTCGTTAAATAGGCCAATTCCTCGACTTCTTACCATTGTAAGCTTGACGCTTGGCTAATCTTTGAATTAAATCAGTTTCACTGATTACTCGAGAACTGACTACATAGACAGTCGCCAATAAAGCAATACACACTGCAGTAAATTTCATTCTAAAAATAGACAAGAATGTCCGTAAGACTATACGTATGAAAAGAAAGTGTTCGTATGATCTTCGAGTATACGAAAATGATAGAAGGTCTGTCTGTAGTGCAAAGTAAGTCGAAGTGCCGCTTTTTGTATGCTGCTTTTTTATCTCGCTTATCTCATTTTTCTTCCGTGATGCCAATATAAACTGTAGATGCAACGAAATCTTTTCAATTTGCCTTTTTCCCTCGGTTCTCATATCTTTTTTTATGTTGAAGATGGTATTTTAATCTTTTTTCCTCTTCCCGTCGATTCAATCCAAGATAGCCTTTTCTTCTTGCTTGATTCAATAGGTTTATGCATACGTGTCCTATCTCGTGCGGCTAGCCACCATCACTGTCTACGTGTTCGTTTCTCGCCCTGACGAAAATTCGAGATGCAAATCGCGAAGATACTCCGATGTCTTCTCATGAATGCAAACAAAAAAATGTGAAAAGAAAAACATGTTTTTTGTTGATTGGCACCTCGAAAAAGAAGCGAGAAAAGATTGCTTTACTGCTTAGAAACCCCAGGGTTTCTTTTTAACTTAGTAGAAACTACACAGAACAGAGATTGATTGTTATCTTTTGTAATTCAACAATTTGTTACTATAACGTCGAGTTTGAATTGGAAATTTAAGATTGTGCGAAAAAGAAATCAATTCCAACAATCATGATAAGTGTTTGGTATAATTTGAAAAAACGTTGAAGAAAAGATTTCCAGATGAATGAAACACAGATACTTGAAAATGAAAGAAATCAATTTGAAAATCTGATTAAATCAACATCAAAGATCAGAAAGTCATTCACATTGATTCCTCTCCCATGAAATTTCTATAACAAGTAGACGCATTGAATTGCCATTTACGTAAAGGGTATGGAAACAATAACATTTACTTTCAAACATGAAGAGAAAAATAATTAGTTTCTAAATGACTTCTGTTCTATAAATAGTTCCAGGTGGCATGGAGTATCAAACGAAAAACGAACATTTTCTTGTCTAAAATCGATATTTCTTCGACCTTTTGTTTATTAGATATAAAACGATAACAAATCTTTCTTCGGAGAATTATCCGATCACAAGAACAGATGATGATATTTTGATTGAGAACAGTGATTCGTATTAGATCATCGACCATCATTCATCTTCTGATAGTCATCTTTGATCTTGACCTGAAAAAATGCCACATCGAACGATATTGTCTTGATTTCTCAATGAATAAGACATCTTTCATGAAGTAGATGATATAATATACAAGTGAGCCAAAAGTTCTGTTTAATGGATGTATGCCTGAGGGAAAATTGTTCGTTTTTTCTATCCCATTATGAACTAGAGAATTAGCATAACGTTGTTCCAAACAAATGATAATAGCCGGAAAAAATTTTCTTCGCGCTACAATGACAAGAATTGATCGTATAGTTTCATCGTTCAGATAATGTTATTCTACAAGAGACGTTCTTTCTTCTTCTTTTTTTCGTCATTATGCAGATTTAATGCATAGGCAGAGTTAATATTCCTTTTCTTCTAATCATAAAATAATTTCGAACTGTCCTATTATGTAAGAGAGAAAGAAAGAAGAAATCCAATTCTCTTCTTCGAAATTCTAATGTCTTAACAAATGACATATACTCATTGTGTTGTACTGCTACAGTCTTCGATCGTGCTTATTCTTTCTTTTTTTTCTCGTCAGACGCAAGCAATCACTTTTCTGCGACATCTATAATAAGAAGAAGATCTTTTTTTTTCTTGATAGAAACTGTATCTGATCTAACCAATCGTAATTGATGAATACAAGGCCAGTAGTATACTGATGATTCAATCGTCTTCGTCTTCGCTTGTCAGATTTTGTTCTCGCCTCGTTCGTCCGATTGTATTTAATCAAATCAACAGTGAATATGTGAATGAATAATCAATTGTGGTCATTTGCTCAAAAGCTTTAAAAGATGTTTGCCATATTTTTATTCACTTTACTCGTCTTTTCCAAAACACCGGTGATCAAAATGTTCAACCTCGATATAATTTCTCCTGATTTTCGTACAGGCCCATCAGGTTCTCTGTTTGGTTTTGCTGTTGTATCATCGTCAGCTAAACAGCAGTGGTGAGCGGATTGAAACGGCATCTTTTCATCTTATTGATTTTTCAAAGGTTTTATGTCGGTGCACCTCAAGCACTACTCACTCGACAACGATCAACTTCAATCACAGACAATAGTACCAATACGGTATCAAAAGGTCGTTTATTTGGAAATATTTTCGAATGTCGTAATGGAACTAATGAATGTCGCGCCATACTCAGTGAAGGTAAACTTATACATGTTCAATGTCAATTTTCTTCATTGAATTTTTCCCTAAGATGATTTGTCGCAATCAATGCCGTCGTTTCATAATGTACTCGATGACGCTTGGCTTGGTTCATCAGTCATTGCGACGTCCAATGATTCACTCGTCGTACGTAAACAGAAAAGAATCCAAACTTAAATAAACTATTGTTGTTTTTCGTTTCTACAGGCATGCGGATATCGTCTAATGCGTAATATCAGTATAGATCGATATGATAGTCGTGGTGGATGTTTCAAAATTGCCGCAGATCGTGTAAACGACTTTGATAAAGGCATGCTTCCGGAAATTCATTTTGTTTTCTTAATTTTAGCGTGATATATCCTACTATGATTTTTGTGAACAAAGCTCAGAAACCGAACTACTGCATGAAGGAAGCGCTCTTTGTCAAAGTGGTCTAAGTCTAGCTTATATGCCGGCTGGAGGAGGAGTACGAAGTCTTTCAATGGGTTTCTGATTGAAAATAAATATGAATTGCATTTTTCAGCGATCGGATATTATTGCATTTGGTGAACCTGGAGCTTTTCAATGGTCTGGTCGTATTGAAGCTGATTATTCTGATACACTTCTTCGACAATTATACGTTTTCAAATCGACTTCCTCAACCCCACTACCCTATAGTTATCTTGGTAAGTGGCAAAAATCGGCATTCTCTTTCAAATTCGTTCTCGTTCTCGAAACACAGGTTATTCGGTATTAATTATCAAAACTAAAAGTCGGGACACGAATGATCGATCATATATTTTTATCGCATCGGCACCACGTGCTTCCAATGGTCGAGGAGAGATTCGGTTTTTTACAAAACGTTTTGTTTCATCGAATACATTTGGTTATGACACATTGCAACCGATCTTTCATATGAATAATAATCGATCTGTACCATTAATGTTAGTTGGCGAACAAACTGGAAGTTATTTCGGACATACATTGACTGCTGGAGATTTAAATGGCGATGGACATACAGATCTTGTTGTTAGTGCACCGTTTTTTTATTCAAAGAAACCTTCGTATGGCGGTGCTGTTTATATCTATTATGGACTAAATGGAAGGGTAAAGAGTGAATTCTCATTTTCAAACTTGATCTATCTTTATTTTAGTTTTCCGACGAACGACGCGAGATATTGCAGGGACCAGCAGCCGAATCACGTTTTGGTTTTGCTGTTGTTTGTATACCTGATCTAAACAAAGACGGAATCGATGGTAAGTGCACAGTGAAATACATTTTACAGTTCAATGTCAACAATGATTTCTAGATCTGGCTATTTCAGCACCAAGTGAAAAAGATGATGTTCATACCGGAAGTGTCTATATCTATCTCGGTTCTCGAACAAATAAACTAATGAAATTCACACAAAAAATTGTTCCAAGTCAATTATTATTGAATACTAAGCAAACAGTCAATATCAGTGATTTTGGTTTTTCATTATCTACGCAATCTCCATTCAATTCTCCACTTTCGTTCTCATCTTCATTATCAACATCGTCCAATTCTACCGTATTGATCGAATATCCTTCATTGATTATTGGTGTTCCGAAAGCGGATATGGTTTATAATTTAAGGTTCACATACAAATGACTACATCTTCCAAAATTTCATCGCATTTCTTCACTAGGTCTCATCCGTTAGTCAATGTGAATGTTCAAATTGAAAATATGAAAGAACTACAAGCGATTCGCTATAGTACTGAAGATCGCCATTGTAAATCGATCGATGGAACACCAGTTGTTTGGTGAGTTACTTACCGTCTCAGTTTCAACAATCTTCTTTCATTTTTTCCTTTTAGTTTTAGTGTTCAGATATGCGTGGAATCCAAAGATAAATTAGCACAAAATTTAATGATTATTTACACGTTAACTGCAGATACTTTGTTCACGATTGGTCGAATCCTATCGAATATCAATCATTTACCAAGTGTAACAGCCAAGCAACTTGTAAATACATGTGAAAATCAAACATTCTTTGCAAAGGTTTGTTCAAATAGATCATTCGTCTTCATGTGCGTTTAAATTAATTAAATTTGACAGTATCGAATCGCGTAGAAATTTGATCTCTTTTCGCAAACAATTCAAGGATATGAACTAGTTCGAAGACGTGTGTGTGTGTGCTGTTAATTGAGTGTTGTAATATGAAACGCGATCGATATGATAATTGAATAATTTTTGAAATTTTAGAGCGGAAATGATGATTTCTTAACGCCAATTCATTTTTCATTGGTTTATAACGTTTCACAAGATCGAAATGAACTTCGATCGAAAACATTTCTTGCTGATGTCGCTCTTCCGATGATTAATGGAACTGAAGATGAACGAACGAAGAAATTTCAAGTGAGAATCAACTGTTTGCTTGATTCGCAGAAATTCAATGAATTCTCTTGGTAATTTAGGCGAATTTTTATAAAGGATGTGGCAATAATGATCAATGTATAACTGATCTTCAATTAACTGCAGAATTCGTCAATGGGCAAAAGTAAGATTTGATAATCAAAAGAGAAAAAAACAACTATCTGTGATTTCTTCATCTTTTAAAAGTATCATTTCTCACCAGGACTCGTAAGATCTCACGCCTAATGCTTCTCAAATCACCCAGATCTATCTTCTATCTAAATCGACGCATTTCAAACTCATTTCATTGCTTTTAGCACATCGAATCTTCCGGTACTCGGTTTTGATTCCGAAATTCGCATCCGACTTGTTCTCGCCAATGTGCCAGCCGAGCCCAACCGTCGACAAGCAGATCCAGCATTTGGAACGAAAATTGATGTATACTTCCCAGCATTCTTCGTACAGTTTTCACAGGCTATTATGGTTCGTATTCTTTTTTTCCGGAGGTGTGGGAGAGGAGGACAATACTCACGGCCACCGCTGCTCTCGCATTGAGATAATAACTAACTTTCTCTCTTCTGACTCTAGGAGGATAAAAGTTATTCGTGTCAACCGATACTTGGCAATCACGTTCGATGTAAAATGACCGATTTCTTCAACAGACCATTTCCACCAGAAAAGATTTCGATTATTGAACTTATTTTTACATTATCAAATGTTTCATTGAGTAATATTTTACGATTTGATTTTCATTCGACAACATTAACAAATGAAACGAATTTGGAAAATAATAATGTTGCATTAACAGCCAAAGTTTTGTTGAAAACTGACTTGAGTCTACGTGCAGGACATGAACCAGAGCAGATTTCCTTAACAGGCGATGGAGCACTCGGATTAAGTTCAGTGAAAACTATTGAACAATTCGGAATGGAAGTAACACATGTTTACACAGTAAATAATTTCACCATTGTCAAATGCGACACTTGTCGAACGAAATTTGCTTCTTTAGATCATAAACAGTGGCCCAAATAGCGTTCGTTCGCATAATGTAACTATCTATTGGCCATATGAAACATTAGATGAACAGTGGGAACATGGAAAACTTTTACTTTATCTCGTTGACGAGCCCATTCTGGAAGTCTCTTCAAGTCTATCGAGTAGTGGAACGAAAATCGATGGACATTGCGAACGTTTGGCACAATGGCGTGATCATATTCATATACTTGATTCACTCAATCGAACGTCAATGACTAATCGAAAACGTCGTGATGAGCAAAATTCAGAAAACGGAATGGACTCCAAAGCTTCATTAGCGACAACAATTACATCACCCATCTCATCCATTACGCGTTCGTTAACATTGTCCTGCGATCCAAACTATCAAAACGTTCGTTGTTATCCAATCTATTGCCATATTAAAAGCCTTTCGGCACAAAACTATTATTTCATTAAACTTCGCGCTCGATTATGGAACAGTACACTAATCGAAGAATATATCGATAAATACGATCGAGTTGACATACAATCATTTGCATTAATACATATTAATGATCTACTTATACATCAAACATCAACGGACAATGACAATGCTTCTGTAAGTGAACTTGAATCGAACATAATTTGTACTTGGAACTATTTTTATGTTTAGGCAACAACACCGGTTGAGTTTGCGAATCGATCGGATAAAATCATTGTACCGCGATTGCCACTTTGGGTACCACTAGTCGGAGCTATGGCTGGTCTTATTCTTCTCGTTTTCATCGTCATTGTTTGCTGTCTGGTAAGTTTGCCTTTTGTCATAATTTCACAAATTTTCTTTCCCTTTGCCTCGAAGCTCTTCTACGAATATTTTCTCTTCTCAACTCTAGATCGGCTTTTTTAACCGTAGACGACCACCCTCGTCTCCCCTTCTTTGAATTTTTTCACACGGGTATAATTGTTCGTTGTGTTTTGCCGTGTTACTACTCTATTTATTCCAACCAGTTCTCTGAAAACTGTTCTATGAATGTTTTTGTTTTAGCTTGGTTTTTTTCAACGAACGAAAGCTCCACCGATAAAAAAGAAGCCGACAGCACTTCCACTCGATGGCACGACAACGAACAGTTCCAGTGATGAACACCAACGGATCCTTCTTCGACAAGCCCATCGTCAACAAACTCTCTATCCCTCATCAACAACGAATTCATTCAACGAAGAAAATTTCTTATCTCAACAAACAACGATTCCGTTGATACATTCAATACCCGAAGTGCCATCTGCTGATAACCAAGACATCGATGAAGATGAAGAAGATGATGACTTAGTTCACAACAATCTTGGAAATCAATCAGATATCGAAGAAGAAGCACGTTTTCCAGTCGAATATGATGACGATGAATATTCATCGAAAATGAATGAACCTTTAGTAGATGTAGAATCTATCAATCAATCAGTGAAGTAATCAAATTTCGTTGTTTTTCTAATCTCTTCTTTTAATAACAGTGCATGTATTGATTTTTATCTTCCATTTTTATTTTTAAATTTAGTAGTCAGATAGATTTTTGTCTTTTACTCGAACGGTACTTTTATTGGCAATACTAGTTGGTTTTTATTGTCAGCTTTATGACATTTGTCGACTTAGCGCATTTCTCTTTTACTTTTTATTTATTCAATCTCAAACTCTTTCTTCCGGTTTTATTCTCTCGAATGACTTCTCTTCAATGCTCAATATCAGTTTGGATTTGTTATTTAGGATGTTTCTCACTTTTCAACACACACACACGCACCTTTAGTCAGATGATGTTTTGCTCACTCCCTGTATGCTTACAGATTCTATTGAATAAAAATATATAATGATTTTATAGGCGAACCATATGTTGCCATTCTTCTTCCTTGCAGATTTGTCTATTTCATTTTGTATTTTTTTTGTCGTGCCCTTGAAGACATCGAGCAGCAACAATGTCGACTGATCAACGTAAACGTGAACTCGAAGAGAAACGGGCGAAATTGGAAAAGATGCGACAAGAGAAGATGCTCAAGAACACTCCAACAACACCTATGACCCCGGGTTTTGCTTCGATACCAGCAACGACATTAACAACAACACGAGAGGATGCTGATCCAGATAAAATTCTTAAAGAAGTTGGAATCCTTCAAACAGCATCACTTCCAGCTACGTCGCCCTCTGTTTCACCAGGGTCAGCCGGAGCAGCATCCGCATCGGCATCGTCATCGCAACAAAAGCGGCGACCTCCAAGTAGTATCGCGTTACAAATTTGTCAACAAACCACTGCAACGATCAGTGTTCCTCCCAAGGAATTAGTAACATATTCGAAAGAAGTTCAAACTATCGAATCAGGTGACAAAGATCCTGCTGCAAGTCCCATTCAACACGAGCATTTACAATGGGATGATGAATTTCCCCAACCAACGGCTGGTGAGCGCAATCAACTTGTTTATGTTAGTGATGAAGATACGATGAGTTTTGATGAAAATACCAAACCATCGATTGGTATGTCATTAGCGTCAGTGGCAAAATTGGAGCGAACTCGATCGTTAAAACAACAAAATAAACAATTTAGTTTACAAGGTCAATCGTCATTGGTAAAACAAGAATTAACAAATGAAGAACGTGAACAAATTCAGAAAAGCGAACACTTTCAAGATTTCTTTTCGCGCTCAGCTCGCATTATCGAACGATCATTGTGGGAGAGTCCACAAGCATTTGATATATTCAAAGATTATAGTGGAAGAGAATCAGACGAACAAAATGAAAAAATGGATGTTGGAGAAATCATTAAATTCGATCGAGAGTTTTTCGATGAACGATGGACACGTCATCGTATTGTCACTTGTATTGATACATCAACTTATCATCCAGAATTAGTTCTGGCATCGTATTCACAAAACGATGAGTCGACGCACGAATCTGATGGTGTTGTACTTATTTGGAATACAAAATTTAAATCAAAACCAACTCCTGAAGTAACCATATTGTGTTCACAACGAAGAATTGTCTGATAATTCTCATTTTAGTATGTGTTCAATTGTCAATCATGGGTGACATCTTGTGTTTTCAGTAAATTTCATCCAAACATTCTCTTAGGTGGTACTTATAGTGGCCAAATCGTTGTTTGGGATACTCGTACGAACAAACGCACGCCTGTACAACGAACTGCTCTCTCGGCATCGTCTCATACTCATCCGGTGTATTGTTTGCAAGTAATAGGTACACAAAATGCAAATAACTTAATCTCGATATCCAACGAAGGCAAAATGTGTTCGTGGAATATTGAAATGATGACTCAACCACAAGAGAGTATGGATTTAGCATACCGAACAAAACCTGTTGCAGCAACACGAATGGTCTTTCCTGGTGTCGAAGTGAATAACTTTGTCATTGGTAGTGAAGAAGGTCAAGCTTATTCCGGTTCCAGACATGGAAATAAAGCCGGAATTCAAGATAGTTACGAAGGACATTTCGGCCCAATTACAGGTTTGTCAGTTGATTCGAAAAACAATTCTCTATCTTCCCCTCTTTTAAAGGTCTTAGCTGTCACAATGTCAATGGCTCTGTTGATTTCTCTCCCCTGTTCTTGACATCTTCATTTGATTGGAGTGTAAAACTATGGTCATTGAAAGAATCCAAACCGCTCAACTCATTCGAAGTCAACAGCGATTACGTTACTGATGTACGCTGGTCACCAGTTCATCCGAGTGTATTCTTAACGTGTGATATAACTGGTCGTTTCGACATTTGGAATTTGAACCATGATTCTGAATTACCCTTACTAAGTACAACATTAGATGGCAATGTCGCGTTAAACAAATGTCTATGGTCACATAATGGTCAACAGATCATCTTAGGTGACGATCAAGGTAAATTACGTTTATATGATGTCAATGAATTTCTTACCAATCCAAAACAAGATGATTTTAATAAGTTAAGTAGTACATTACAAGAATTTAAACGAAATACACTTGATGCATTTGATGATAATCATCCGACAAATGTTCCGACAGCGACAACAACAGCAACAACAAGTGCAACGTCGGTTAGTCACAATTCGTAAATGGAACAAAATTTTACGAAGAAAAAAGACAAGTTTTATTCTGTTTGGTTTCGTTTTTTTTCTCTTTTTATTTCGGGTTGTTTAATGGGAATTTTCATTAAGCTTTTATGTCATTTTTTTTCTTCCTCATCTATCAAAATAGAGTTCAAAACTTTAAAATTTAACGCATTGAAACCGTCGCCATATTGCTGATTCCAATCGAATTCCGAAGATTGTTTATTTTCAGCACTAAATGCCATCAACATATTTTGTTCATCGTTTGTATCCATAGTTTGATCTCGATGGATTTCTTCTAAGGTTTTATTTCGTGCACCTTGACCATGCAATTCTCCCGTTCGACGATTACGAAATGTCGCAATTGTACGTAGAGTCAACGATATTCGTTGACTGGAAAATGCCAATTCATCAGCGTCTTTATCCATATCAGCGCGATTGTCTTGTTTAATGGAATGAAGCCATTCCCGATTGGTCTTCCAGCCTAAGATAAATAGTGAATTGTGCGGAAGTTTGAAACGTTGTTTAACACCCGCTTGAGTTTTATGTTTGAGTATCATGGTTCGAGTAGCACCTAAACTGTAATTTACAATATTCGAATGAAGTAAGACATCTAAAGTTTTATCTGAATGTTCGCCAATGAAGTCTTTTCCATTTCGATAATACTGTATCAATGCATGATTTAGTTTTTGTTCGATTAATTCTTGGATTCGTTCTTTAATAATCAATGCGGTTGGCGACCATGTTATCAATTCAGGCTGTTCATCGGCAGGATGACGATAGAGTGGCTCATATTCATCACCGTTCTTAACTTCAATCGTTCCTTGGATAGATATGTCACGTGGCACTCGGCCACCTTTCTGTCTCATCTCATTCCAAGCTATTTCATCACGTAGTTTATAGAATAGATCATCAGCTACGTCTGCTGGAAAAATATTCAATAAAAGAAAAGAATCATTGGAACCATAAATAGTGCCGTTCAATACCCAATGTGGAATGGAAGCTGAAGTAGTATTTATTGCCGCCATGAGCTCGGAAAAACGTTTGAGAATATCGCTGGTCTAAAGCAATATACAGAAATTGTTAACATAGAGTGTTTCATTGTACTCAAGAGAATCAATTCCTTCATGAATTATTCTTCTCCGGCCGAAAGATTAATTTCGAACATTATTCTTTCAACTCTTCTCTATTGACTTATTTATAAGTAACGCATTTGTTCAGTCCTTTGCGATGGTGTATCTTCATCTCGGATCAAATAAAATCATTTCGATGGAATTTTACGAGATTAATATTTTCAAGTAAGATGAAAGTCTTTTTTGTTCGAAGCTTTAACCTAACTCATTGTCAGATGGAAGCATTGCTCCCGGAACTCGTTCATTCAATTATTATTTTCTGCCATCCTGAATTTCATGCAGAAAAAAAAGCAGAAAGAAGGAAAAAAACTTCCGTGTTTCTATGAAAAGAAATCTTTTTTCAACGATTCTCATTAATATTTACAATATTTCTCGACAATTCTATTTTCAGATACTAACGTCATTTTTATACAAAATCAACTTCGTTGCAGTCATTCATTTCTATCCTTCAATATATCGAATCAGTGTAAATAAAACGAAAATATTTATTGAAAACAACTAAATATCGATATAGATATATAAATAAGTAACTAACGAACGCATTTTCTTTTCTTTTCTTTCTTTCCGAATAAGGCGAACGAGAGAAAAGCAACACAAGGACAACTGTCATTCCCATCTGATCGATAGGATGATGTGGCCGACGAATAACAGATGACTGAAGAATCGAAGAAGAAAAGGTTACGTTTGCATGTACATCGTGTTTCTTCTGACTTGTTAATATGAAGAAAAATCGTTTACTATTACGATTTTCTTCATTCGTTCGTGATGCTTGTCTGTTTCTTGTGAAAAGACGTGTTTAACGAGCACTTCTTGTTAAGTGGACGGTATTTTACACATATTTTCTTTCCGATGGTTTGATTTCTCTCTCTCTCTCTGTCTTCCCTCCACACACTCATGCCAGCAAGAGCATAAGTTGAAATAAAGATATAATTGAATACCTTTCTGTATGCATCACGCCATTTTCCTCTGAGCCTATTGGAAAGAGACTTTTACTCACGCCTCTTTTTTTTCTTTTCCTATTTTTCTTTCTTCATTCATATTCATTTGCTTCATTGATCCTTCCCTCTTATGCTCGAGTGAAGACTCTATGAGAAAAGAAACGTTCATTCTAAGATGCGACAATCATGACATGTTGCGTCGCTGTTACTCTTATACTAAAGAAATAACGAGTTCCCGTTCGTAGTGTTTTCATACAAGATCTTTCTTCGTTCTTCTTCTCTGTTTACGTTCTTCAATCCGCGTTGATTCTCCTACGCTTTCTTCTTCTTCTTTTTTCTCTTTTCCTTTGGTTTCTTTTTATTGTTATCTAAATTACTACTTCGGGTGCATACATCACATATATTTTTCCAGTTACTGCTGTTCTTGCAACAGCATCCTCTCTCACACGTTTACTCCTACTTAGAATCTAATTTCTAATAAGTATATACACAGGCATACCTTTTCTTTTTCATTTAATATGACTACAAAACCGAGCGAGAAAAAAAAAGAAAAAAAATATAGGTGGCCTTGCTAAAACTCGCTTTTTCTCTTCACATTCTGATTGTCATGTTTTTCTGTCTCATACCGGTTTCTTCTTTTCTGCTTATACATAATATATATACCAAGAAAAGCGAGTGTTCAAGGTTACTTAGTCCAGTCAAACGGTTGAATGGTTAACGAAATTATATGATTGAGTGTATCTACTATTCTCATTTTTGTTTAAGAATGAAATATAGCCTGCGAAAATCATTTAATTCTCGTCGACGTAAGGATATTACTGGTGATGATGATCAAATTAATCCGCGAAATGACCATGTAGTCACAAGTTCGAATTCGCATCTGGTGAAATCCAAACAATCGAAAGGTTTCCTACGACGACGTCGCTATTCAGCCTCACCGCCGCGTTCATCATCGCCAAATCGAAACAAAACCAAAACCAGTGAACACCCGTATAATAACCACATCAATGACGAGGACGATGATGACGACCCATTTTCAACTTCAGTAAATTCCAATCCTCGTCTTCGACCGTTTGACAAACTAACCGATCAAATTCGAAAATCATTTCGAAATACTTTAACACGACAACGTCCACGATTGGAAAGCAACAATTCAAATAAACGATTGATATTCAAAAGCAACGATGAAAATCATCCAGTCAATCTACTTATCTCGCCAATCTCAACAGGTTTGACATCACCAATTACTTTACCAGCAGAAAAAACAACCGATACATCAGATAACACCAAACTTCCTCCAAAACGACGAAAAGCTCCATTAGCACCAACGCATATGAATCAATCGTATGACTAATCATCAATCATCTTTCTCTATTCTTCAAACACTCGTTTTTTCCTTCTTCTAGGAAATCAGTGCCCAATCCTGAGTGCTCTACACTTAACATAACTGATCAACAAGAGTCTGGCTATATTTCATCTCCAAACGATTCGCAAACAAAGAAAACCAAATTTAATCGGTCGTTTCGTGCGCAAATATCCCTTCTGTTTAAAAAGCGTCATGCAAAACAACAACAAATTGTAAATTGTCTCGACGACGATCTTGATCATCAGCACCATGACGATCAAGATGACGCTCCGGATAAAAAGCAAACTTTTGCTCAACGATTCGATACATTAAGACGCTCCTTACATCTTGGCAAACGAAATTCGTTGAAGAAAGGTACGAATTATTTACTTTCGAATGAATAATTCATTTATCGAAACAAACGAACATGAATAACTATTGTGATCAAATCTTTCTCTCTCTCTCTCTGTTGTTAATGTATTTAACAAACAAATTTTTATTGTAAAGAATGTGCATATAAACATTTACGCGATATTTATTGTATTTTAAATGAAATTTTAATTTTATTTTTTTTTCTCGTCTTATAATGTGTCTTTCTCTCTGCATATACTGAAATATATATATATATATCATCAAAGCGCGTACTTTCAACGAAGCAAAAACGGAAAATATCGATCATAATTGAATATCGGGTCATTTTTACCTTGATGAATGATTTGTTTAGATGACAAAAAATGTGATGAAATGTGTGTAGAAAAGCATCTTATCGAAGGTATAACAGGTTTTCTCTTACGTTCTTTATTGATTAATCAAAATAAATCGCAAGACGTCGCCAGTTAACAGTTGATTTACCGGTGGATAAATAACCTAGTCGGTTACTCAAAAAATCAATAATATTTCACCTTTTTTTGACATATAGATGTAGGATGAATGTGCAATCAGACATTTTATGAAATGTAGATCATTAATCACGAGGAAACTTCGTAAATGTTCGAAGTTTTTCTGCGCAGATGAAGAAATGGGTTCGTAACATAAAAAATGGATGTCCGAAGGGAAAAAGGCAATTGGTTTTTTTCTGTACATAAGTGTTTTCGATGATATGACGTGTTATATTAGATGATTGATCGAAGATTAGAACATGGAATTGTCAAAGGTTAGAATTATTAGTGGTTTTTATCGTGAAAATGTCAGATGATTGACTGAATTCGGTGATTAACCATCTCTAATCATGAAATTCTTACTAAAAACACTTTGTTAGACTTTTTGTCATCGAATCAGTTTTCAAATCAATTCTTGATGAAAATGTCAACCATGATCTTGTTTTTTTTCTCTTCTATTTCGGATCCTGAACAAGCATTCAAATGACAGATCGATGAATTCTCCTTCTAATGCATCTATTAGGGGAAAAAGCATACATTCACGCAATATGCATGTCGGAAATAATTTCTCCGATTTTCACACAAAAATAATCGCTGAACACATTTACACTATGTTCCAAGGTCGAGAGAAAATATTCTCTCACACTTTTCCTTAGTCAATATTACTTTAATTTCCATGAATCTCACCGACACTCCAACCAATACACATATTTGTCGCAGGTTAGCTGATTTCTTTCATTTCCCGTTATGTTCGATGATGAATCCATATGAGATTAGCATTTTTTAACCCGATTATGCGTAACAACATGTAAAGCGTATTAATATTTAGTATGCAGATAGAGACATCACCTCTCTGCCGTTCTCTACTCGATGTTCTGCTGTTCTCCGGTGTAAAAAAAAGAAATTTTATTCTTTATATAAAATTACATTCTGTAACCAGACCGATTCCTTGAATTTGTTTAGTTTACCTGACCAACCGGAAATTATTTTTTACTTCGTTGAACAAAAATATTGAAGAAAAAAAGAAATCGCGACATATTTTCAAACCCAAATCGTCTTAGTCATTTTCATTTTAGACACTTCGCTGCAAATCCATTACTTGCATTAACAAAAAAAGAATCTTCTTCTGCGCGAATTGTCTTTGCGTATGATTGATGAAATTCTTTTTGCGTACAATCACCTTGACCGTTTGTCGAAAATTCTTTGTAAGTACAATTGGTATATTAGTTCTAGAAGGTCATCTACCGGAAAATATAAGAAAATCGGAAACCATGCGAGTTATTCTCTATTTATATATTAGTCTTCGACTATTATTATGTGTCCAGTAAAGTTATATAAAAACGAAGCCGGGAGAGAGAGAGAAAGACGATGATGTCATCTTCAAAATTATACAAGAGTACAATCAATGGTAATAATCATAGTTTTTTTCATCGTCATTTTCTACTAGATGATGAAATATTAAGAGAAAGAAATGTTCATGTGTAGAAGATAAAGAATAGGTGTGACACAATTTAACAAAATGATGTCTGTACGATGTCCTTCGGTCATACAACGATAGATAGATTGTATGTTTGTATATAGCGAGTTGTCCTGTCTCTTTTTTTTTGCATGCTTATTTCGTGATCGTTAATTAGACGAGATGCCAACTAAACCATTGTCATTATATGTGTCAGAAAAATTAACTACAAAATAATTCTCATTTTTTATGATTCTATCTGTCGTTTTTTTTTTCATTCTACAGTCACACTCGATTGCCAGACGTTCTATTTTATTTACCAATGTAGTCGTGTGTCGTTGTTGTAAAATGAGAGATGTGACATGTGTGTCATTTGTTCGCTAAGCAGAGTCTAATTCAATCGTTAGAATGAATTGATGATCGTATGTTACTATTACTGCTGGTGCAGATCTAATTGAGATGTTGTATAGAGATGTCCAGTTGATTTAATTCAATGCTCCACCCAATTCGTCGTCTTGAATGAATTAAATATGAGAACTTGTAACAGTAAGAACACGTGCACCGATTGGAAATCGAAATGATTCACTTATCGACAGACGACGATCTAATTACAACGTTGTATTAAAAAAGAATTTCATCAATCATACGCAAAGACAATTCGCGCAGAAGAAGATTCTTTTTTTGTTAATGCAANTGGGGTTTCACGTTTTTAACTCGAACATCGGTGATATCGTACTTTCTCTTAGATGATCTGAAAGGTACGATAACCGTTAAACGACCACTTGATCGAGAAGATCTTTGTCGTTTAAATTTATGTTCGTGTTCGTCGGATTGTTTACTCAAACTTGAAATCAATGCTCTCAGTGATGTTTACACACATATTATTTATCTTCCAATATTAATTCTCGATGAAAATGATAATTTCTGCTATTTCTCCAATGATATTTATTATCTGAATATCAGCGAAAGCGTCCGTTTGAATAGTCGAATCATTTTACCAATTGCGCATGATCCTGATCAAACACCCAATAATGTTCAATCGTATTCAATTCAATCGAATAATTACTCAGAATTTCGCCTCGATAATCAAATTCGTCCATCGATAATCATCGTTCAACCGTTAGATAGAGAATTACAAGAGAAATACTTTTTTCATTTTTGTGCTTATGAAGGCCCTGATAACGAGAAACGATCGTGTTGCACAAAGATTCTTTTAACCGTTACGGATATTAATGATAATTCACCAAAATTTCAAGCCAATCAACAATCACCTGTGATTTTGAAGATTTCGGAGTTGACAACAATTGGTACGGAAATTATTCAGATGAAAGCGTTTGATCCAGATGAAGGTCTCAACGGGCAAATTCGATACACGTTTTCGAAATGGACACGCAATGATGCAACAATCAATAAAATTTTTCATCTGAACTCAGAAAATGGTTCAATTACTCTCGTTCATAATTTGGACTATGAAGAAAGAAACAACTATGAATTACAAATCCAAGCCAAAGATTTAGGACCAAATGCTGTTCCAACTTATGCGTCAGTCATTGTCGAGGTAGGAATGTCAATGAATCTGAACAAATGATCTTCTCTTCTCTTGTCTGTTTAGGTCATCGATGAGAATGATTGGCCGCCTGAAATATTTACTTTCTCACCAGCTGATGTTCAGTTAATCAATAATTCCATCATTTACGTATTAGAAAATGTCTCTCTTGGCACTCCAATTCTCTATCTAACTGTGTCCGATCGTGATACAGGTGAAAATGGGCATGTCACCGTCGAAATCATTGATGAAACTTCTATTTTACAATTAGAAAAAGTTACTGATAATACTTATGCTTTAAAAACCACACGTCAACTTGACCGAGAAGAGAAATCACTCTATTCATTCACATTATTCGCATCTGATCATGGCCAACCGAAGCAAACAAGTGAAAATCAGTTTGAATTACATTTAATCGATGTGAACGATTGTTCACCGCACTTTGTTAATTCGAGCAATTTTACATTTGATCTAAATGAAAATAATCAAGACAATTTCCTCCTTCAGACAATCCAAGTTGATGATCCCGATGAACATGATCAAATTACACTTCAACTTCAATTTGATCCACTACATGATTATAAACATCTGTTTAAATTAAACGAACGAAATCAATTGATTGTTTTGCAAAATCTCGATTATGAAAAACAATCCGTCTATCAATTTGCAATTCAAGCAGAAGATAAAGTTGGACATCAGACATCTGTTCCTGTTATCATTCATATCCATGATGTCAATGATAATCCGGTTAAATTCCCCACGAATTCGACACGATTTCAAATCGAAGAGAACCAAGCGAGTCACACTTTTATCGGACAAATTCAAGCCGAAGATGAAGATAAAAATGATCAGATAGTTTATTCCATTCATCCAGATGATCTTCCTTCAATAAAACATTTGATCCAATTGAAAACCACTGGATTCTTATTTACAAAACGAAGCTTCGATCGGGAAACGCTCACTCAGCTACATTTTCGTATTGTTGCTAATGATTCCATTCATACTGATGTTCTCGCCGTACGTATTGATATTCTTGATCAAAATGATAATAAACCACAACTACAAACACAATCGCCTTATTGTTATATTTATAATTTAACAAATAGTAATCAAACAATTGAAATTCAATTGGAAGGTTATGATTCGGATGAAGGTCGAAATGGAGAAATTGTCTTTTCATTGAAAAATCCTTCGTCTTCGGACATCCGAATTCTTCCTAATGGTCTATTAATTCTTGATGGAATCTTTCAAGAATACAGATTCGATCTGGATCTAACCGATCAAGGTCAACTAAAAAATTTTACGACAACCTACAAAGATTTTCTTGTTTTTATTGTTTATGAAGAAGCAGAATGTCGAAATTATTCGTTAAAATCATCCGTGGAGATACATCCTCAAACATATATTTATTTAATTTCAATCATTCTGATTAGTTTAGCAAGTTTTCTTGTCATTATATTTATAATTTGCTGCTGTTTTTATTATCGACAACGACGTGAACGAAGCAAATCTTTAAATAATAAA